ACATGCAATTGCGTTTAGACTCACCAACCACCATGTTTGGGCCACTTGAAGGCCTTTGGTGAGTCAGCCAATTATTTGTAAGTTATGGGGTGGTAGTCAGGGCTAGTTATTCGTTTGAATAAAACATGTCATGGGGGATACATGTGTGATAATCACAGATATTAGTATACACGTTGACTGTCAACAGTGTGTCAACTATCTTCTGGGAAACACACGTTTTCATAGCTGTAAGCTGTTCCCCACATCAGCAAGGAGCCGATCCAATATCATACATGCTATGTGCATGATCCTAGGTGTTTCTGTTAACTGACGCTGGGGAAAATCCTGCTCAGTGGAGCCAGTAGGAATAATTTCATTCTCAAGGTTTTAGCGAAACTGGGTATTCGACCAGTTTTTCTCATGGTTCCGTAACTGCTATTATTTAATATTTGCCTAAATTATGGATGAGCTACTGTAATTGTGTTTCTCAATGACTCTACAGAGTGGAAATAAGTTGCGTTTCATCGTTTTTAACCGTAGGGTTTCTAATTGCAGTCGTATACACCTGTCAAATTATTCCACTTGTTGGTCAAACCATATTATGCGTTTCGTGAGGAATCTCTGGACACTTTCGACTTTTTTTCGGTCTGCAGATCGTAGGTTACTAAATAGGACAACACAATATTCAAGTTTGGGGCGAATACATATCATATATATAGCTAATCTTGCTTCCTGAGTTTGCAAGTTACGCAGTACAAAGCCATTCAATTTTGGAAGGAGCATACCGTACTTATATAGGCACATTCTCGGTTTCCAGTTTCTAAAGTGGGCTACGTCGCGCTTGTCTGGATTGAAAGTCAGTTGTCATTTTTCGCTTCAATCGCCTAGACTTTTTAAGTCATTTTGGATCTTACTTCCGACGCTCATATCATCGTACCCATAATCAAATTCTATCTTGAGATCATCTGCATAGAGGTGTGGCTTGCCATACTTGATCACAGAGACTATGTCATTTATAAAGAAGAGGAATAGAATAGGGCCACGGACGCTACCCTGCATTACACCACAAGTTATCGGCTTTGATGAAGACAGTTGGTGGTTGATTTTGACTAATTGCTCTCTCTCTGTGAGAAAAGAATTTATCCACTTGATAAGCTTCCCAGTTATTCCGTATAATTGGAGTTTTGTTAGGAGTCTGATATGTAGGACTTTATCAAAAGTTTTGCTAACGTCGAGAAATAATGCTGCTACTGAATGTCCACTATCTATGCATTGTTTAATGCAGTCAAAATAATCTAAGTTGCAAGTAATGCACGACCTTATACTTAAGAAACCGTATTGGGATGGGGATAGTAGGTCATTTGACAGCAAGTACCGAATGATTTGAGTCTGTACTATCTTTTCCATCACATGTGATGGGACGGTAGTTAGTGACGTTAGCTATTGGCCCTTATTTATGAATGGGTACGACATAAAACTTCATCCAGAAGGTAGTGCATGTCCAGTCATGTGAAATTGTGTATAACTTGAGTAGGAGTAAATTTATGTCATTACCACCGTTTTTCAGCAAAACGGAAGATATACCATCTGGACCAGGAGAGCCACTAAGCTTAAGATTTGCAACAGCTTTATCGATTTCTTGTGTGGTGAAAAGTGTCACTTAGATATTCGTCTATTTTACGTGGGAAACCCACGACATGATCGTTCTCTAAGGTCTATTGTCTGGCAAAGTGTTTGCTTAACAACTTTAACATCCTCTTTGGATCCTCGTAAACAATATCGTCCAAGTGTATTATTTTTGGATAAGCTGCTTTTGGGTTTGTTAACCTACTTTTGAAAAGTTTGGGTATTTCTCCTGGGCCATGCGGTGGTTGACTGGTCCACATTTTTGATTTCTAAGGCCTAAATGTTTTAACTTTTGAGTTCTAGCGAGAACAGGCATAGTAGCAATTAATGGTGATAAGTGATGATATCTGTAGTATCTTATTTAGTGCTTTCGTAGACTTTGATATAAGAATAGAACTTGTGCACTGTGGTAGAGTATAATTCCATTATGGGTAAAATTTATTTTGATAGGTCTCACAGTGTTATACAGTAATATTCACTGATGAAAACGCTTCGAGTACAATTTGTTACTGCTCATAATCATATCAAGATACTCATACATTTTTCTAACTTCGTTCACATAATTCCATTATTTTTCATCACTTAACTAGCTCTAATTAGATCGTGGAAAATACCCACTAGGACATTAAATTGAAAAGAACACGAAGTTCAGCAAAGATATCCTTTCGGCGATTGCATTTTCAAACTGTCAAACTTGCTCTAAAGGTCTGCTATTAATTTCTGAAGTGTCAGCAAATCATTTTTACTACGAGCCGCATTATCTGTCATTTTTTGTATGATATCAGATACCATAACTTTGGGTGTGTCTGGTGTCAAAAGTCTAGAATCGTCTGCAGAATTGAGGCCCTCAGATGGTTGACGAGTATTCAATTTCAGCATCTTAACATTATTTACACGTTTGACAGACTTGACCATCACAGGAACAAAAATTTCCACAGCTTCCGGAAAAAATATTGGTGACTTAAAAAGGATTGTTGTATAATCGAATTATCAAGAATAACGATAAACAGGTATTTATTGGAAAATAAAAAGTGGACTTTCCTTCAACAACAGTATTTCCTTAGTCCCCGGTGGTTAAAAGGGGTGTCAGAAGATTCCGGATTGTAGATTCCATAAGTGAATACTATGTGTAGTTAAATGTGGATATGTGGATATTGCGAGGAACGCGTCTAATTTCTAAAAGAATATGGAGAGATGATTCAGGCAGAAACACAACACTACTTTCGAATTATGTAGAGCACTGTTTTATTCTTCCTGTGACTCCTTTCATGGCAAAACACAATGTATGGCATGGCATATTTTGGGAGCAAATATTCTAGATGGTGCAGTATTTTCTGACTCAGCTAGTAAGTCGATTCCTAAAGTACCTTTCCTAAAGCTATGTGCGGCTGATCTACCCACTGTAGTAAGGGAATCTCAAGTTTTCACTACAAGTATCTGTAAGTAAATGGCAAATACACGAAATAAAAGGTGTAAGGCAGAGAAACAGCATTGAATTTATACAATTTTCATTTTCTCTGTGGCTGTTAAGTATTATTTGGGGGGGGGGGGATGTACTGTTGCTTTTGTAGCAGCAGCACTGTAGCAGAGTATCGAGTTGGGTAAACCTAATATAGTAATGGCGAAACTGGGTAATAAGATGGACTTGAAGTAGACCATAACCATGCTGTTAGTTCTTTTACTCCAAGAAGTCAACCGTAAGTGGTTACATCCAAATTAGAGAACAAGGAACACACACAAAGTGATTGTAACTGTGCGAATCTACCTGTAAGTAGCTGGAAGACTTACTGTATTTAAATTTAGCAGCCTGGTGAATTATTTATTTTGCATTAAGAACAAAATGCTAAGAAACCAGATGTGTATGGGATCTGATCACTGATTTATTGAACGTCGTGTATTTAACATTGAGTTTGAGGCGCGTGCACCGCTTTTTTACGGTGCTTTGTGCTTAGTTTGATTTTCGTTTGTTTACTTTATTGTAAGGCTCTTCAGATGATATCCTTTTACTTTATGTGTATGGTTCTTTATGTTTTCAGGTGCTCAAATAGTCAGTAAAGTTGAGAAATAACAAGTTGAGGGCGAAAATGACAAAATCTAGCCATCATGAGTTAAAACGTACACGCGTTACGAACACTATGTATTAGTTTGTACTAATAATTGGGATTCGAATTAGTTGGTATATTCAGGTTGATGGTTAGATTGGAGCTTAGAGCTAAATGTTTCAGGATAACGTTTATGACCATAGTTTTTTGATTTAGCTTCCAGTCAGTCACATAATAAATTTTGAACATAGGCGATGGTATTAGTTTTAATTGATATGCTTAGTCTACTCGGATTGTGATTTTTATGATTTCTGACTTTGGTTGAAATGACGCTTCAGATTACTGTCTTAATTTAATATTTCTGAGGTTTGTCTTTTATCAACAGTATTTGGTTGATGTAACCTGATAGTAGTTTTGACTGCTGATTCTGACAGTCACAACGTAATAAATGTTGTTTAGTGTTTGAGTATGTTACTGTGCTTATTTAAAAATAAATAATCATACACGTTTTTTCGGTATTAGTCACTGTCAGTCATTACAACAGACTATGAGTGTCAACAAAGTGTTGATCAAGCCTGACCTCTCCATTTATCCTTGGTAAATACCACAAGATAATTGTCTCAGTCCATTGGCATGTCTTTTGTTTATAAAAGATATGTGCTAAGTATTTCAAGATTCCTACTGAGTGTCCTTGAAGATCTCTACCTCAGTCCGGACAACTGATTGATGTCTTCAGTTCTCGTACAGTACTTGTCCATGGCCTGGCACATGATAAGTCTCTTCCGGGTAGCTAAGTTCTAATCAATTAGTTTTGAGTTCCTGAGGACTGCTTCGATAGCTTGCTCGAATAAAACTGTATCTTTAGGTGTTGGTTTGCAGGGTTTTAGCTGATTTCAAGTTTGGTTATTAACTGACCTCACTGATGATGGTTGTCACGCTATATACCACAAACTGGCAGAAGTTAGAGCTGACAGGCCATCGGTCTCTGTCCCAGTGGTTGAATGGTCAACGAACTCCTTTTGTAACCTTAAGGTTTTGGGTTTGATCCTTGGTAGGGTCAAAGGTGCGTACTAAGGAAGAGTCTCAGGTCGTGATGAAACTAGAAAAGTATATTTAATTTGGTTGACCGTCAGTATAATTCAGTGTCGCGCACTATCCATGTCTAGGTATGAAACACTATATATATATACTGTTCATTTGTTTTGGGAAATATTTTTAAATATTTAAACTCAAATTATCTATTGATGCTTCATCTTTTTCTTTTACAGATTGTTTCTTAAACAAACTCAGGCATTGAAGTGTATTCTCATCTAATATTATACAGCTGTGCAGCAGTAGATTACACTCCATAATATGATGGCGGTAGATACAGCGAACAAATCATTGACATCGTTGTTGGAGAAGGTATTTAAAGAATATTCCATATTTAAATAAAATATTTATGTTAGATGGTAGCTGCTGATACTGATTACAGATTTATGGCTATGAATGATCTTATCAATGAATTACAAGTAAATACACTTCGTTTAGATCTCCAAAGTGAGAAAAGGGTAAGTTTTCGATGTATACCCCTCATGTATCTAAACCTTTTTTTAGGTTGTCGGACTTATTCTTCGTCTTCTTCGAGATCCTAGTGGTGAAGTTCAAAGCCTTGCAGTACAATCGTAAGATCAGCTAATCATTACCATATATATTTTATCGCTTAACAGGTTAGGTCCGTTGGCAACCAAAGTGAAGGAACAACAAATTGTTACCATTGTCAAAGATCTTGTTGGTACTATGGAGAAGGGTGGTGAAGGACAACTGCGCAGTATATGTAGTATTGGTAAGTTCTTGCACATACATCTCACGACTAGTCTGCTGTATAAGTTTTCGCGTATAGATCAGATTATAGGACCCACTTTAGCTACCCGTCAAGCTTATTACTTAATTGGAAAAAGGGAGTTTTTACGGGTTGATTACGGACTGATATCAGTTAGAGAACCATTGAAAACCAGGGAGTACTGGACAGCTGTTTCATCCTAGTTTGGGAATCATCGGCAGGACTCACCCACTGGGATTTGAACCCAGGACCTTCCGGTTACAAGTAAGCTCGAATACCATTCAGCCACTGGGACCCGATTCAATGGCTAATGAATTCTAACTTCTAACATAGCGCGACCAGTACTCCCTGGTTTTCAATGGTTCTCTAACTGATATCAATCCGTGATCAACTCGTAAAAACATAACTAACCCTTACAAACCAAAACTTAAGAAAAAGGGAGTTTACCTATTTCATATACTTCGTACTTGGATGGAATTATTGATTCACTCTCTCTGGCCCCTTGATGTAGACTTTATTTAGGAATTCTCAAACACCACATATTCTTTGTTTTTGGGGAGTTAAATTTACGCTTTTATTCAGTTTCTTGATGCTTTTTAGTTGTAGCCCAGATTACATATTGCGATTTCAATGTTTCTGAATGCCAAAAAACTTGTGAAATTTCAGTTTTAATTGTATGTTCGTCCAATATCTAATTGTATATTCCAACGTAGGGTTGGAAAAGAGTTGCGGGTGGTCATCAACCCATGAAGTCTTTGGCAGTTGTTTTGAATTAGTCACATAGGGAGGTGCAGGCTTCCTAGAACCAATGGCTGGAGACAATCGGTGATATAGCTCAAGATGGTTCACAGTAGCACAGAGATGTTCACCCTTCGTGATCTCCCAAATCCAATAAACTCTCATGTTTTTCCATTTTACCATTGTTTCCCTCTTACATTTCTGCTCATTTTTAGTTCTTATGAATGTCTTTCTATCTCATTTGCCTACCTTTGTGTGGATTTATGGATTTTAGCAACTTGAACTGGTGGACTTCTATGTAAAGTTCTACGTTGAAACTCTGTTAATCAGTCATTTCGAAATTATGTTTCATCGCTGTTCACACGCTTTCGTGAACACAAATATACTTCAAGTCTGTTTACTTAAGTATGCTGGTATGCACTTGAGAGACTAGTGATAGATCACAAAAGTGAAGGAAATAACTTCAGAGAATAATTACTTAAGCATGAAACTAAAGCTTGATTACTCTTCATTTTTTGTTAAACAGTCTTCTAAATGAAAACTCCCATATCAGTATTCCGCTGGCGTTTTTAGAAAGTCTTTGGGTCATTAGACATAATTTAACCGTCTACTAGTAATTTCATTTCTTCATCACCAGTCCAATTCATTTTATTACATAACAATACAGTTATTTCTGAATTTGCAGTTTCATTGACGTTTGTCGTCTTTTTTTAATTTTTAATAAAAATTCTTTGTAGGTCTCAAGACTGTTGTCAATGCTTTACCTAATGCAACTGATATGGCTGTAGTTCAATCAGCTGTTCGTGAAGCTGTTTTACCCCTGGTTCACATGGTTATGTCGCACAATGATGATAATGTACGCGTTGAAGCTTGTGAAGTTTTAGCTGAAATTATCAATCAGTAAGTCAGAGATTTATATTTTTGTTCATGTCATCATTTGTGTTGCTAATTTGCCTTTAAGTCTAATGTGTGCTATGCATAAGGATGTTGCTTATTGATAATATGAAAACTTGTTTTCCCTGAATGTCGATCTAGAAATCATTAGTTCGTATTATGATAATATGGTGAGTCGGTTGGAAGTATTTTTTCAGCTAGATCGAAGTGATCTTAAGCAGCAGGCGGCCGTTTTTGGAGTAGCTAGACAGCAGTGGATCCCGCTGGTGTAGGCTGGTTTGTCTCTCTGAGCTGAATCGATACCCTGTAGGCTGCTGGTGAGCTCGGCAGCAAACAAGTGATCATTAATTGGTGTTGAGAATTAGTCATGGTTAGTAAGTTAAAATTCACTCACCAGGAACAGATGTGAGTTACACCTACTGTGTGTGAAAGCTGCTGATAATGAGTTTCAGTCAGTATTATTATTATTATTAAAAACACACACTTGGTTGATTGTGGACTCCAAGAGATGGGCAAATATTGTTGTTGTTGTTGTTGGGATACTTCCCGGACTGAAGCAGGTAGTTGTCTGGAGTCACCCTCTTGAGCCTTTGACCGGAATTCTGAACCGCAAGGAAGTGGGGCATCATCAGGAACTGCCTTCCAATGGTTTCCTGTGACCAAAACAGTTTCATACACTATTCTCTCCTTTAGGATTCTGGAGCCCATGTACACAATAGGTTTGGAATCAGCATTTTCTAGCTCCCTTAGGTAGACCTGCATGTCCAATAGTCCACGTCCGACTTCGCCGTTTCACTTTTGTAAGTAGAATGGGTCACGTGAAGGCAGCGAACAAGACTTACGGGGCTGACAGAGGCTATGAACGCGTAGCCACATGACAGCATTTTGGGAGAAAGATTGAATTTAACCCACCCTCAACCGTACCAGGTTGTTTACAGAGGTTGTAAATACGCACACTTATTTAGGGTAATCTGATTCATTGTTAGAAAGTTTTCCACTGTTTTACTGTCATCAATGAAGCGTATTTACTACATTAAGGGGAATCAGTACTCTCACTTGAGTCGAAATCATGCCAGCTAGTACACAGATTGTACCTAGTGGTCTAGAGATTGAAAATCGATCACTTAGTTTAATAAATTTGTAATTTATGCTTTGTGATATCGTGTTGTATGACGTTATGATCACATGGACACACTGATGGATAGAATTCTATTAGCACACAAAAAACTAACTATGGTGATTTTTATGTATTAGTTTATAGGAATTTAATTAGTCTCAGGATTTATCACGAACTGACCTCAGTTAGAGGACCATTGGGGGAAAGTCAGGGAGTGCTAAATAGCCGTCTTGTCCTTGTTTGAGACGCTTTATCAGCCATGAGGCACCCATGACTCCAACGGCGATCGCACCTAGGACCTTCAGGTTATAGGGTGAGCTCGTCGACTATTCACCTACTGGGACAGAATCCAAAAGCCCGTGGAGTTTTACTTCTGTCATTTCTCAATTTTTAGTGCCACTACCACATGGGGTGAGCCGCGCCGATCACCAATTCTGGTTAGAACTCCAGACAACTTCGTCCAGTAGTGGGTAATTAGTAAGCATCATATTTTTAATTACCGGAAGTTAAAACCTATAGGCCATAGGACTCCGTCTCAGTAGCTGACTAGACTGACTGGATTTAATTCATAGCTTTGCATACATGTGCAGCAGTTCCACTTGCCACTCTCCCCCCCCCAATGTAGCACACAAAGCAAGAGAAGAGAGTAAAGAGAGATTCAGAAGAGAAAAATAATAAACAGAAATATGAGGCAAAAAGAATAGTAATACGGAGGAACAATAGAATTTTATTGGATATTATAAATCACAAAGAGTGAATGCATCTGCGCCAGCCATGGAGAACGATTTTGAGCCGTATCATCTATAATTGTTCCCAGGCCTCATTGGCTTTAACATCCCGAGGACCCCGACCAGTCATTCAGTCTATACCTCCGTACGTGGTCGGGTTAAACTGACTGTTGTGGATTTCAGTGACTGATGAAGCCATGTTTTAGTTTGACCAATAATAGCTAACTCTTTTCCAACCTGATCTATCCTATGTCAGCTAACTACATGGTCATCACCGTCGGGATTATGGATGCCTGTCGCTGAAGACTCCCAAACAAAGGTGAGACATCTAGCTGTCCCCACTACTTCATGGTTTTCAATGGCTCCCTAACTTAAGTCAATTCGTGACTAATCTTGAAAATAATTAAGATAACTTTAGTTACTACCTGGAAGCCAATCGGTGTGCAAATAAGTTACATGCTTAAAGTGTTTGTGTATAGTTCTTCAGTGGTAGATACCACTGGTTGTCTAGGTATTTGATTGTAGTGTATAGACAGGAAATGGCCAGCAATATTTATGAAATTGTAGTTTATATTACAATCCTCATGTTTTTCAACAGAGCAGTGCTTTACGTATTTTTGAGAATGTCGGTTTAATAGAGAGAAGACCAGTAGTTCAGCGAATAGTCTTTTCGGCGGCGAATTCATTTTCACAGTTGTACAATAGTATGTATATATATATGGTTATTTTGTATGTGTGTGTACATTGAATTTGTCAAACGAAAATACATTGGTAAGTTTTTGGTGGAGTTACATAATACAAAAAGCGTTCAGAGAAATTGGGTGTTGATATAAGAGGGCAGTAACAAAAGTGATGAGAGTTACGTAATAACATGAATAGTTCGATGAAAAAGCTGTACTCAGGGTGTACATGGAAAGAAAATAAAATTACGGAATTACGACTTCAAAGGTGACCTACTTAGTGATTTCCTTAAGAGGAGAATTTCCACTTCTTTAAGAAGAACTTTTTTCGCAGCAACACTAAGAGTAGTGTTCTCCAGTCTCCCGCCGATCTTCAGATGCCCAAAGGACAAGATCTCGCACCCGACCACTTCTATGTGTATATATCAGATCACCTGTTGCTGTGGAGCCAGGCACATCGGTCGTTCGACGCGTATGCTGTCAAAAAGGGTCGAAGAACACTATCCAGCCTGGCTGCAGAGAAAAAGTAGTGACCGTCGTCGAAAAGAGACTCTATTAATGTTCGCATAGGGTTTTTTCATGAATGTCATTTTACACTTGTTTCGATATGTTTTGTACATATCGTCGTTAGAATACCTTTTCAGCGATATCATATCTCAAGCTGTACAATCACATATGTTTGTATATATATAGTTGTGGTACATTATCATAGCAATAAGAGGAATGTTTCCGAGGATCTCATTAAAATTGTTACTTATAGCTTGAGAATGATATCACTGAAAAGAGTAATTCTTCTCTGAATGCCTCCTCTTTTTTATATAACGTGATGGGAATTTTTAAACCTTAAATCCCATCTCAGTTTTATGTTTCTTCTTCATAGTATATTTTACCTTTTCCCCCTGCTTTTTTGTTTTCTTTCTAGTTTTGGCAATCTCTTGACCAGCTATCATCTTGATCTTCTCGATTGTATGATTACATGTCTTGGTTGTCCACAGACAACTCTACGTAAAAGAGCTATTCAAGCCTTGGGTTTTCTATCATGGATTATCCCGCAGAAGTATTTCACTTCATTAGTCAGCTTCTTACTATTTCGTTTACAAATGAGTCCATTTCTATTGACCTCTCAGTCACCAATGAAAAATATGGATGAGCAATTATCAAAGTTAATTACTGAGAATACACTATTTCAACGACCTCATCTACTAGAACAATTAAAACAACAACCATCAGTTGATGTTACTAAAACACTACTTCAATGTTTCAATGTTGTCTCGTAAGTTATTGTGAATATTTTATCAGTTGTTTCCGCCCTACTTTTTATAATCAGTTGGTAAGCATGGAATGGCAATCAAACCTCTACCTCAACTTTATAAACTTTGAGAAGGCTTTCGACAGCGTTGACTGCGAAGTAATTTGGAAACTACGCGAGTACCATAGCGTACCCCAAATATTCATCAACCTTATTCAACATCTGTACGACAACGGCACATGTCAAGTGATCCACAACGGAAAACTCAGCGAAGCGTTTGGAGTAAACACAGGAGTCAGACAAGGGTGCTTATTATCACCAATGATATTCCTAATTGTGGTGGACTGGATTATGCGTCAGACAGTGGGAAACGAGAAGACAGGGATATCCTGGACCGACGTGAAGAACCTAGAAGACCTGGATTTCGCGCGTGGATGATTTATGTTTGATGTCACACAAAATCGAAGACTTACAAGCGAAAACCGACAAACTGGTCGAAGAAGCAGCCGGCGAAGACAGGACTCCAGGTGAATATAGACAAGACGGAGGTTATGAAAACCAACAACAGCAGCAACATCCAGTGCCAATCACAATCACCGGAAAGGATTTGAAAGAGGTTACTTCATTCACTTATCTAGGGAGCATTGTCTCAACCACAGGAGGAACGGCCGAGGATGTCAAATCGAGAATCGGGAAGGCGAGAAACACATTCATCAACCTGAAACCAATCTGGAAATCTTCGTCACTCACCATCAACAACAAAATTCGGATTTTCAATACAAACGTCAAGTCAATTCTTCTATACGGATCAGAAACTTGGCGGGTCACCAAGAATATTTCCAACAGGTTGCAGACCTTTATCAACAACTGTCTTCGCTCTCTACTGAAGATCAGATGGCCGGAAAGAATCACCAACAAGAAACTATGGGAACAAACAAAACAAGAAGCAATCAACCAACAAATATGCAGGAGAAAGTGGAGATGGATTGGACACTCGCTGAGGAGGCCGCTGGGTGACATCGCGCGTCAGGCCAGTGCTCTAGTGGGACGTCCAAGGGTGACATGGAGGAGATCGTATGAAGAAGAGTTGAAACAGTATGGACTAACATGGATGCAAGTGAAAAGTACAGCAGAAGACAGAAGCAAGTGGAGATGTGCAGTTCAAGCCCTATGTTCCACTAGGAACCCAAGGGAACAATAATAATATTAAAATAATAAGTTGAGTTAGATATCATAGGAGTATTTGTGATAACTTGTGATAACTTACATTCCTGGTGGAACATACAGTTTCAAGCCTTAAATATGAAGTTTCAATAGGTGTGGTATTGTTGCTTTTACATAGCAAGGTCACTCACCTCACACCCAACTTTTCCTCTTCACTGGGCTTACTACTGGTGTGGCGTGCACTACTTATAAGATTTGTCAGTAGTATATAAAGAGGCATTCATCGGCACACAAAAATATCAAATAGCGGAGAGATAGATTTGACGACGTCGAAGAGACAGGAAATGAACCAGTGGATTGTGGTGAAAGATGGGAGACACGAAAAGAAACACAGTGCGCCAAGGGCAGAAGTAGTGCACACGTGTGGATTTGTTTGGAGAAAGTTGGCAGTGGAATCCAGGATTTCGTTCTTTTAGCGGCTAGTCAGCTGAATGTGGCCCGCCTTCCCCATGAATGACTGAGTGTCCCCCCTCTGAGGTTCTATGCCAGCACTCATCGTTTCAAACGTCCAAGCATTATCTGCCAGGAAGCCATCTCTTGTGAGGTTAATTTGTATTTCCCATTTATTGGTGCTCGGAAGTGATCAGGGGTTTCAATTCAATAGAATCAATTGTCGCAAACACATGGACTATACATTTGAATTTCGCTTCGCCTATTATTGTAGCTCAGTTACTTACGTGTTATAAGTTGCCTTTATGCTTACACTGGGTGGATCTCTCGTGGCCATGCAGAGAGTACTAAGTTTCATATTTCAATTATACTGAATACCTTTTTTTTCATAATTATGTACGTGTATATGTGTAAATTCTTTTCTTCTCTTTTCTTTCTTGTGACAGTCGTCAACTTCAACGTGCACCTCATTGTATTACTCCAGTCCTTCGATTATTGATATCCATTGCATACAGTCCAGCGTCAAATAATACTGAAGAAGATGACGTTGTAGAGTTGGTTATTCAAGTATTAGAAACACTGATACGACGATGTCCTAGAGCAGTTGCACCTGCACTACCTGAAGTAAGAAGCTTCAGTATACTTATGCGTATTTAATTATATTATTCATTATTAAAACACGAACTTGGTGAATCATAGGCATCAAGAGACAAGCGCCACGGAAAATCTCATAGTTTTTGCGAGGGTTGAGATACTAGTCAGAGACACAGAAAGAAGCAGGCGGTTTTCCAAAGGGGACACCCACCTCTGCGAGCTTTTGACTCGATGTCTGATTCACAATACAATGGAACTGCGTTCCCGTGGTTCTCGGTGATCAAAACAGTTTCATATGTCATTCAATCCGTTCGGATTGTGGAGTCCATTTACACCACAGGTCTGGAATCAGGGTTTTCCAGTTCACCCTGTCAAACCTTCATGTCTACCAGTACGATTGTAAGCGGCAAACGTTTGTATTCTCCCTTCTACTTTTCTGAGGAACACCTCGGCCGCTTGGTGGGTAGGACTTCTAACTTGCTAGAGGTTATGTACGCATGGCAACATGGCAGCATTTAGGAAAGAAGACTGGAGTTTATCCACCTGCAACCGTACCAGGTAGCTTTTGGGGAAGATTGGTTGCTCAGATGTGTATATTGTAGTCTGGACAACATTTTCGACACAAACTGCATTCAATGTAAAGGGGGTGAGGGAAAGCTTCAGGAATTCTCTTTTGGACTTCCTATATCAGCCTTTTACTCAAATCAATTTGTGGTTAATGTACGTGTGGAAACTGGTTGAATTCATCAATCAACAGACGATAAGTCACACAAGTCAAAGGTCAAATATATATCAGGTCAGTGTGAACAACACGAATGAATACACAATAGCAAGACAATCCCAGGAGACAACCAATCACACTCAAGATAATCAGGAAAAATGGGTTATTCACTTCGTAGAGGATTCTGAAGGACAATGAAAGCTTTGCACATTTAAATCATTCCTCCCAGAGGACACAACAACAAAAGTCCAAAATATTATCATCGTCATTGTTACTTCTGGATGATTTTGATGACTTAAGTGTTTTTGAGGTGGTACAGACAGCTGGTGCAATACTTATTAATTAATCCAATATTCGAACTCACTATACAAATGTCTCGTCCTAGTTTAGGACTCACCGGCAGTACGCACCCACCAACAGGGTTCGAACCCCAGGACTCCTTCCGGTTACAAGATCAGTGAGCTTGTAGACTATTCAGCTGAATGGTCTACGAACTTACTGGTCTTCTAACCTGAAATAGTCCTAGGGTTCGAACCTTGTTGGTGGTTGTGTACTGTTGATGAGTCCCACATCAAGGCGAAATTGCTGTCTAGTACTCTTCGGTTTTATTGGTTCTCTCTAATTGATCTCATTCCATAATCTAACTTGTAGCAAATACCTAATTGTGCGAACTGCTCGACTACTACTCATCACGATTCACTTGTGGGGTGAGTGCAAAAGCCCAAGCTCAAGTCAGTCTTGCAGAGTAATACTGCATACTTGGATGATGCAAAGCATTCACAACACTATACCTATCGGAACTGATAGACAACTGATTAAGTGCTGTTTGAGAGAGTAGCCTGTATGTCTTTGTACGCTAATAGCCAATGTCATCTGCATATATTTAAGGTTTGAAAAATCTTTTTGCAGGTAGCAGATCTCTACACCAGCTCACCATCATCATCAACGCTCATATATTCTCTTTAGAGCTTATATACACAATATTCTAAGGTTCATTGCATCCTTTCAGTCAGTCAGCCAGTGCATGTAAGCGCGTATTTAGCACATAAAGAATCTGTCTGTCTCTTTTCGATATAGAACTTTCCACCGATGTTCAGCACTTCAAGTCGCCACACTCCATTTAGCACACAATGCAAGAGAAGAAAGTAGGAGAAATGCATGTTAGAGACAGTAAACAGAGGTGTGAGACAAAGGAATAGTAATAACAGAGAACAAAACAGTTTAATTGGAAATCATAAGTCACAAGGAGTGGATGCATCTGCACCAGCCATTTAGAACGATTTTGAGCCATAATACCGACGGTGTTGTGCTGCTATATTTTGACTAAACTAGCGTAGACGTATATCTTAGTACTTCTTCGCGTTTACAATTTTGTCCTAACGTTGCGATTACTCGACATCCACAACGTAATTCAAAGGGCACTTGCGAAGGAATACGATAGTGTATTATTGCAGCAATCAAAATTCAAAAATCGAGCGAGTACAAAATGTATCAATTGTTAACATGCAAGATTTAGAGTAATAAACAAATCGAAGTACAATTACACAATGAAAGTATACTGCGATGATGAATAATAAAATGGGTCACTACAACGGTTTCCAGCCATTAGTTTTTACCGTCCAGAGGACCCGAACCAACCAGTTAGGAAGTCTACACCTTCCTACATGGCTGGCTTAAACTAACTGTTGTGGATTTCATTGACTGGTGCCATGTTTTCGTTTGACCGCCACTAGCTCTTTTCCAGCCTGACCCTATATCAGCTAACATTGCCCATCAGTCGAGGAAGGCGATGACTAGGCACACGTAACTTCACAGCTTCGTCGATTGATTTCCCCTCTTTACCTAGCACTCGACCGACGTCTAACCTCAATATTGCTCACCTTATTATACCACTTCACACGGTATATAGAACGCAGACACCTATGATCAAAGACAGCTAGCCAGGCTTTTCATGTCTTCCACTCTCAATGGCCAGGTCTCGCAACCATAAAGGAGGACGGAGCGGACACCCGCCTTTTGGTCGATATTCGGATATCACGTCTACTCCAGAGATGGCGTAAACTGTCGTATACGAAACTGGGGCTGATGGTACTTCCCAAATAAGAGAAGCGTAAGCGTGCTCTACCACTTCAATTCCTATTTCTTAAAACTAGGAGTCAGTGTAGTTCAGTCCTGTAACATCATTTTACATTTGACGAGGGGAGCGAATCGAATGCCAAACATTCGTAGATTGCAGCTCAAGGTGTTCAGAAGACTCTGCATTTTGTCACCGTCTTCACCTACAAGGACTATATCATCTGTATATTCTAAGTCAACGAGATTATTCCCTGGTAGCAAGTCAGGGGAATAAAGAATCATAAAATATGAGAAATTTCTAAGGTGGATAATGTTATTCACATCATGTTTTTATTGTTGTTGATGATGACACGATGACCCCATTCCTTACTTGTTATGAAAAATATCCTAGATGGTTAGTACATAACAGTATAGAATATTATTACAGAAGAATGGTGCGATATCCATCATTCTTAAACTTAAGCAAAATGATTGTTAGTCATCTTAAAGTTCTCGAAAAATTTAATACTTGAAAAAAAATTTGATTTTCAAATGTTGGTCTGCAGCAATTAGTCTAGTACTCAGTAGTGACTGACTGACTACAGGGTGAAGATAGCTAGCTGGAGTTTTAGCGAGAAGTCGTAAGCTGCCGGATCCATCAAGTCAGACAAGAGCACACTTTCTACTTGCCTATGACATTGGTTCGTGGTTGCGCAAAAGTTGGGATTCACAGGCCGTTGGATCAGATCCCAATAGTTGAATGCTAGTCGACGAGCTTGAGCGTATGCTGCCGAAGAGTCCCGAACGGGGACGAAACAGCTGGCTGTTCAGTACTCTCTAATGGTCCTCGATAGTTCTCTAATTGAAGTCGATTAGTGATCAATCTTAAAAATCTGGTTCTTTTTAAAAAATAGTGTCTAATCAATATCAAATACCTGTATTACGTGATTATACCGTTATGTAACTGAGAAGACTTAGTCTACACCCTTTTTAGAGAATATACTACAATAATTTTTTCTAAAACGGTTCAATGTTCTAAAATGTTCTCCTGTGTTTTTGTTCAAGTATGTACAAAAGTATAGCCTAGTTATCATGTATTTAATGCTTCGGTGGTTCACTGGTAGCGAACACATTCACCAGCCGCGCACGTAGTCCAGGGTTCGATCCCTTGCTGACGCACTACTAAACCTCTCTTAGGCCGGTAGTAAGCCAGGAAAATAGCGAAGGTTAGGCGTGTAGGGTTAACAACCTAATCCCGTTGAAAGCAATAAAAGCGCTACCGAAACTTCAAAACTCAAGCTTGAAGTCCTGTGATCCAATCAGAACGCAAAGGAATAACAGGTGCCACAACATAATAACCAAGATTATTCACACGAAGTTTTTGTTTGGTGGTGGTGGTGGCTGGCAATAGAATTCAGAAATTGCGTCTCGTCCTACTTGTGAGTTGTTATCCGCAGCACAGAAACATCCAATCACCTCCGAACAATAAGTAAATTTGCATATATATATTCAAGTTATTATATCAACAGCAACAAAAACCAGCACCAATCACCATCAACGGGAGAGATTTAACAGAGGTTGCCTCCTTCACTTATCTAGCGAGGAAGCATCGTTTCAACTACAGTCAGTCGGAACGGACGAAGATGTCAAAGTCTAAATCGAAAAGGCCTTCATCAACCTGAAACCAGTTTGGAAATCTTCCACACTCAGCAAAAGGAACAAGATTCGTATTTTCAGAAACTTGACCAGCGTGTCACGAAAAGGATTTCCAACAGCCTATTGCATACTTTCATCAACATCTGCCTTCGCTCCATACTGAAGATCAAGTGGTCAGAAAGAATTAGCAACAAGAAACTCTGCAGTGGAACAAACCAACCAACCAAGAGCCCATTGCTCAACAAATATGTAGGAGAAAGTGGAGATGGATTGATTGGGCATACATTGAGGAGGTCACCGGATGACATCGCGCACAGTGCAGGCCTTCGCGTGAGTGGAATCGAAATGGGAAGCGACGAGTGGGTGGTTGGTGTGAAGGTGACATGGAGGAGATCGTGTGAGTTGGAAGAGATGAGAGAGTTTGGTCAATCGTGGAGCTAGCCATCTGAAGAGGACGGCAGAAAACAGAAGAGAGTGGAGATGTGTTGTTGAAGCCCTATACTGCACTCGGAACTCAAGGGAATAATAATAATAGTTATTACTATTACCGTCAAATTGGAGAAATCTCTTTTTGTAAGGCCTCTATGTGTTCAAGTGTGCGTCGGTGGTTAACAGGTAGAATGCCCACCCCCACGGTCTACGTTCAACTCTTGGAAACCGCGCTTAGCTGGAAGTGAAGAGGAAAGGGCGGGTGCAAGACTAGCGAACCTATCTTGTAAAAACACTAACGCTACTGAAACTTCAAACCTCAATCTTAGAGCCCCCATGTTCCACTCGAAACGGAAGGAAAGGCAAAAAAAATGTTCAAGTTAGTAGTCAGTAGTTGATGATTATATAAGTTTTTTTTTCTGTCTAACAAATGTAAATCAAAATAAAATAAAATAAAAAATAAATAAGTATATAACTAAGAAACTAAGTTTAAATACTGAAGAGGTGTATAAGCCTTATGGTTGAATAGACTTATTTGCGTGTGTTGCTTAAAAGTACACTTAACGTTTTCATTTCTTTAAGTTCTGAGTGGCTTAGGGATTTAAGTTTTGCAATTTCAGTAGCTTTGGTGTTGTTTTTCTTTCCTACGGCGTGGGAGGGGGTCGCCACCTTCACACTTAGCCTTCCATCCTTTACACGGGCCTATTACTGGCTAGGTGAGGTTTAGAAGTACGTTCCCTGGACATTGGACGCCGACCACTTACGCGCTTGTAGTTGGCGTGCATTCTACCCGTCAGCCACTGACGCACTTTAAGTTAAACAGACGAAACAGGGTGGGCGAGGGGAAGAATGCTATGATGCGCTTCTTCAAATTTTTGTTTTAAATTGTTAACCTAACATTTTCACTTCATCCACCATCTTTTTATATCTGTGCTTGAGCGCTTGACTTCTAGTCAGTGGGTCCTAAGATTTGAAATCTCGTTCTAACCCGTTTCTTTTTGGGTAACTGGGTGGTAGTTAAACAAAGTTGCCTACTATGTCCGATGATACACCTGATGGTGGTTGACTGAACCATTCGGCAGACCGTGGGGAGCGAAAAGGCACATGAGTATGTTGAACCGTCTCGAAGATTCGGACTTCGTGGACGGAGAGAATTTGAAGGGAGTCACCGCCTTGACTTATCTACGTAGCATCGTTTCATAATACAGGTGTCACGAATGAAGATGCCGAGGTCAGGAAGTATCGGAAAAGCGGGACAAACCTTTATTAATCTGAAATCAATGAGAAACTCTGCTGTAATCATCATGAAGAACTAGATTTCTACTTCCTTCCAACACTAGTAAATGTCAAGTCAGTCTTTCTTTTAAGTTCAGAGATTTAACGCGTCAACAAAAACATTTCCAACAGGTTGCTGAGGAAGGATGAGCAACTAGGAATTCTGGAAACAAACCAACCAAGAATCTGTTGCCCAACGTGTATACCGAAGGCGATGAAAGTGGATCAGAGCCCCCAGAGGGAACTGTTGAGTGACATCATGCCCCAGGCAGACTCTCTATTGGAATCATCAATAGTGAACAACGAGTTTGTTCCTTGAGTCCAAGAGTGACATGGTGGAGATCGCGTGATGAGGAAAGGAAAGCTTATGTGCAGTAGTCGTGGAGTCATCTGGAAAAGATGTTGTGTTGAAGCTCTGTGTTCCACTTAGAACCCAGGGGAATAATAATATAACATCATGATAACCGGATAGTATTATCAACCCTTATACAATATATGTTTGTGTGTGTGTGTCTGTATGTGGCACTACAGCCTAGTCAATAAATAGTCTGTACCACCGGGAACTGAGTTCTGTTAACAATTTCTCTTTAATTATCTAATATCTTTAGGAGTTTAATTTAATGCTTTCCTTTCTTTTCTATATTCACTGCCAAATAGCTTATCAATCTTCTATGCGAACGTCTACAATACGATCCAAACTATGATTATGGTCTAGCGGAGGATGGAGATGATCAGTAAGTTATTTATCGATTGTGATATTATTAAATAACTTCTCTTAATTCCCTATACGTTTAGAAGTTGTCGATAGAAAATAGTGGAGAACTGATTTAGTAGAATATTAGTAAAGTGTTTATCACTACCACTAACTAGTGTGGTTTGTAGGGTAATATTTAATGTTTTATATCTCAACTGATAGCTGCACCCTTGACGTGTTGGTTGGGCTCACATATCTCGATGGCCCAGTGACGTACACTGGATGGAACTGATGTCCCTTCAGGTCTTACTACGCCAAAAGGGTCGTTTGGATAGCGATTAGACTAAAAGCAGTTACGATCATGATGTGTGAGTCGTTTACACTGTGTTCATGGGGGTCTTTGGGGGGGGGATAGGGATGTAACAGCAGTAAGGTGTTTCCCTTAGATGACCAGCATGTTGGCTGTCTTGCCTTCCCACTCTGGAGGGAGGGAATCGTGCGGTTACAATAGATTTACCCCAAAAATTGTACATTCCGACCTACCTTTCGGCTGTCTGTAGCTTATGGTAAGATCTTAATACGGAGACAATTTCAGGAAGCCATTCAAACCTGGAGTGTGTGACCGACCTCAATTGGTTGTCGCTTTGGCGCCATGCAGTCGTGCAACATCAGTCATATTTCTGTTTCAGATGCCCCACGAAAAAATCAACCTACATAGTCTGGGCATCAGGGAAGTAAAAACTACTCACCGGCTTCCATAACCACCTTCTTTAAGTCAGCATTCTAATTTGACATCAATCGGTGTGAATGGCACGGTGTTATCTACTCAACTAGGAAGCCAAAAGGGCTACAGGTAATAGTTGTTTAAGCGTAGTAGGTATGTGGGAAGGAGGTATAAACTGCCTGCTGGTCCTCGAGACGCTAAGAACCGATGACTGGAAACTGTTACTAAAAAAATATGGCTCAAAAAATCGTTCTCAACAGCTCAGATACTTTCGGTATTTTATAGTCTCTCATATCCATTGAATCCACAGTATTCTCTCTGTAATTAGTCTTTTCTTCCTTGTATATTTCCGTTCATTGTAGGTTTTTTGCTTTCCATGTCTCCCCCTTCCTACCGTTATGTTTAGTTTTAGAAAGTATGGCAATTTGAGTTGCTGGTATTTTTGTTTGAAGGTTTTACTTTTAAAATTTAGCAATAGGATACCATAGGTTCAAGGGGGTTAGAAAAACGACAGCAACCATGAGGCAGCATATGTACATAAGGCTGTCTGGCTGACTGACTGACTTTGCACAGAAGTTCACCAGTTGAATTTGTCATGTAGTGCATAAAGACTGGCAAAACATAGAGAGAGTGAAGAGATTCAAAAGAACTATAACTATAACAAAAATGTGTGGGAACATGATGGTTTATTGGTTGTGGTAGATCACAAAGAGTGCATACTTATGTGACATTGACGACGATTTTAATCCATGTCACCAATCGTCTCCAGTCATTGGTTCTTAGCCTCCAGAGGACTCTCTAGCCAACCAGGCAGTCTACATGCACCTCTCTGGCTGGCTCAAACCAAATATCAAAGACTTTATGGGCTGATTTCAGGTTTTGATTCGAACACCTATGTCGTGTAACATTACCCTTCGAGGAAGGCGTAACGTATATCGTAGCCATCTCAATTGGTGTAGCTGCACAACTTCATCGATTGACTGACTTTTCCTACTTTACACTCGAAGCCCAACCTCGATATTTCTCACCGATTTATATCACCTAACTCGAGAGATGGAATGCAAACATCTGTGGGCAAAAACAGAGAGCCTTTTCTTATCTTCTACCTTCAGTGGTCATATCTCACATTCATAGAGGAGAACAGAGTGAACCGGTGCTCAGTACTCACGTCCTTTGACCGGCAGAGATGACATAAGTTGGTAAATGTTATACGAGCTTTTTGTATCAATGCTGATATTTTCGTCAGCTATCAGTCCATTAGGGCTGATACAACTCCCCAAATAGGTGTAGTGGTTAACATGGTCTACTATCTCACTTCATATCTTTAAGCAAGGAGTGAGCGCAGCTCGGTTGTGCCGTATCATCTTACATTTGACAGGAGCGAATCGCATGCCAAACATTCAAAGATTTCGGGACAAGGTGTTCAGAAAGCTCTGCATTTTGTCAACATCTTTAATTAGGAGGACAATATCGTCCTCATAATCTAAGTCACTTGTCTTCTGGTAAAAAGTCGGTGGCACAGTGGTTAGGACTCACCGACCATGCACATGATCCGGGGTTCGATCGCCTGCCGACGCACACCTGATATCTATGGTCGCCCTGCAAAATTTGGGCTACCGATATCACATGTTGGAAATTCCGTACCTGTACCAAAAAATACGGTGTGGAATCAAGCTGTAATAAAAAAAGTCAATCCCCAAGTCGTCAAAGCCAATTAAGGTTACATTCATTAGTACATCTTTGATAAGATTAAATTAAAAACAGACATGTTACATCTCTAACAGACACCACTGGTTGTTATCACTTCAGAGGACAACTTTCCGTAATCTTTTACACATCTTCGTGCGATGTACTTTCTCAGCACTTCCTTCATGGCGAAACATTGCCACTGACTGCCTTACAGTTTATCATTTTAAAAAATTCCTTTACGTTCCCAGTGGAACATAGGGCTTCAAGCTGCAGCTTTGAAGATTCGGTAGAAGTGGTATTTAATTTTACAGGATGGATTGCTAGCCAGCCTCATGCCCAACCTTCCCTCTTTTACTAGTCTTATTACTCGCTTAGCGAGGTAAAGTAGTGCGTTGGTGGCTGGGGATCGAACCCCGAACCATGTGTGGCGTGGTTGGCGAGTATTCTACCGCTGTTCCACCGTTTATTTATTTATTTATTTAAACGCAGAAAAACCTGGTACAATATGGCACCAAGAAAGATGCGCCACACAATAATAATAAAACAGCATAGAATAAAAGTAAAAATATAAGTAGAAAACAGATAAAGAACTTCATCTGGAAGGAAGACAGTCATGCTTAACAAGTTCAGACAGTATTCGTTAACTATCATCAGGAAGGGAAGAAAGAAGGAAATTGCAACACGTTCGCCATTGATGATTGCGATTCATGGTCATATCCGATAACGTTTCGAGCCATCGATTCGAGCTATCTCGCGGACCCCAACCAGGGAGTCGTGACACACCAACCGATGCTAATTTAGCACAAACATCCTTGATCCCACGACGCCACGTCATGGACTGACCACCCCTCCGCCTTTTCCATCCCGTCCCAGGGCTAGCCAGCAAACAGAGACCTGTACGGAAGCCTCTGGGATGACATTCGCAGCACATGTCCAAGCCACCGGAGCCCGTGTTTCCAGATGACGACACTCAATGAATGGTGATCTCCACACTGTGTTCAAACACACGCCGCCGAACCTCAGAATTACTCACGCGATGATGCCATCAAACGCAAGTAATCCTGCGGAGACAGCGATGATCGAACATTCAGAGTCGCAGCACATCCTCAGCTCGGAGAGGCCAGGTTTCACAGGCGTAGAGCAAGACAGCCAGCACCGAGGCGTTGTATACCCGACCTTTGACAGCCAGGCTAACGTCGCGACGGCGCCACCGACGCATACAGTTTATCATAGTAAACAGTAATAATTAATAATAATGATAATAATAGCATCTTTATTCTGGACAGTATTTTTGAAATGTACAGAATTTTCAGAGGAGTTTATTGCATGATATTTTCCCTTCCTACACTATATTCAGGTAAAATATTAATTGACAGTATATCCTTGCTGTGACACAATGGTCTCTGAGCTGATGAAGCACAAACCATTCCATTATGATATATATATATATATCTGCTTTGTCTCCTTCAAGTAATCCACGATATCGATCTAGTTGACAGCCAATTGTAAGAAGTTCAGAAGTACATTTTTAGACCAAAGGACATAACTGAAGCACAGTTATCTCATGTATTAATTGGAACACGTTGCCACCCAGAATCAGGCGTTTCTTCAAGTTTAGTAGGAACTTGCGAATCAGAAGGTTGTAAACGCTTTAAATACACACACACAAGAGCAGATAATACACCATTAGAAGGGTCATATCTTAATCATATTAATATATGTGTAAAACTTGGGCACTGTGGCAGTAAGTAATTCCATATTAGTTTGTTTATTAGGTATGTCACACAGTGAAACAGTATTATTTACTGGATGACGTTTCGAACAAAATTTATTTTTCATAATCATATCAATGGTGATCACTCGACTTTGAAACTTGAGTTTTATAGCTTTCTTCGTTTTCTCCAATTTGTCGTAGGGGGAGTAGAATTTTCCAGATATCTGGGTGGACAGGTGTTGGATCATTCCTACTACACGTGTTTGCAGTTGATTCGATAAACAAACCTTCCGTTATCAATCTCTCCCTATACCCTGTGATATTAGATTTTAAAACTGTCATCCTATCCCATCCTATTGTATAGTTGTGTGTAACTGCATGTAGTGTTATAGCTGAACCATTCTCTAGATTTCTTATCTTATTCGGGTCAACTAATCTAGACTTTGCTAGGTTCGTGTGCTCGGCTAGTCTGACTTATGCCCCTGTTCTAGTAGTTTGACCTATGCATTTGACCTGACAATCATTGCAGGCAGGGTATTAGACAAACTAAATTGTTTTGCTTTAAAGGCTCTACAGGATCCTTTAACCGACGAAGCTTGTTTCTAATTGAGTTGGTGAGTGGTTTGAATGCCAGCCACTTTTATTCCTGCCTTGTTAAGAATTCTGCGTAAGGTGGTTTCCGAGGTTCCTTCCTTGTATGGAATTACTACTGATGATTTAGATTCTTTATTGTTGGTGTCGTCATTAATCTTATTGTTATTATTATCACTATTGTCATTATCATTATTATTGTTATTATCACTATCACTACTATCATTATTTATTTTATTTTTACATTTCCTTACATATTTCTTGATTAATTTATCCGGGTAATTATTAAGTTTCAAGGCTTCTTTTATGTGTATCAGTTCGAAACGTCATCCAGTAAATAATACTGTTTCACTGTGTGATATACCTAATAAACATATCTTAATCAATTAAAACAAACCGAACGAGAGAAAATATATGCAATAGAGAGAGAGATGGAAGTTTTTGGTAGCCCATGTTTTAAGCAGGCCACCAGCAATATATTGTTGATATTAGTTCTATTCTTGTTACACCTCTTTGTATCAGATAATAATACGAAACTCTTCTTGTGTGTCTGATCATGTTTCAGGATGGGTGCTGATGCCAGTGATAACGAATTCGATGAAGATGATGACGATGAGGACGGTGAATATTCAGATGATGAAGATCTCTCCTGGAAGGTTAGACGTGCTGCAGCTCGTGGTCTGGAAGCGATTATTTTAGTGTATAATGAAATGACTGCAGATTTCTATGTGTCTATCGCTCCACTACTTATCAAACAATTTAATGGTTCGTAAGAGTGTTGATTTTTTTGTTTCTCGTTTCCATAATTATTGGTTGTTAAGCACTGTTGAATGAGTTTCATGCCGTGTCGTTGTTACCGCGTTTATAAATAAAGGCCTCATAAGATACCTACTACGGATGATGGTGGTTACACTCCGGCCTTCCTCTCAAAATGCTTTCATATGGCTACGCGTTCATAGTTTCTGCCAGCCATGCACATCCTATCACTGCCTTCACATGGCGATGGTGTTCCTTACGAGTATGAAAGGGCGAATCCGAACTAGTAGACATGTGAGTCTACCTAGGAGAGCTTGGAATCTCTGATTTCAAACCTATGGTGTAAACGGGCTCCGGGATCCGAAAGTATTGAATGGATTATGAACCTGTTTAGATCATCGAAAACCTTTGGGATGTAGCTCCACTTCCCTGTGGATCAGAGTTCAATTCAAAGGGTCGTTGGGTGAAGGGGGTCTCTTGAGGCATCCATCTGCCTGCTTCCGTTTGGGCATCTGGGCAGTATTCCAGGCCTCGTTGAAACTATGCGATTTGGTGTAGCGGATCTCTTGATGCCCATAATGTACCAAGTTCCTCTCCTAAAGAAAATAAATTATTGTAAATAAGGCTAGTATGGGATTTTTAGCTATTGCGTATAGGGATCCCGTTATCAATCTGGACTACACTCATTAGTTCCTGTACTCATTTTCAGTGTAGTAGTATAACTCTTTGGCCTTAAGATGTGTTTGTGTTACCCAGTGGGTCTCCGGTTTAGGTGGTGTAATAGGGTGAGTAATATTGAGGTTAGGCATCGATCGAGTGATAGGTAAGGAGGGAAAATCAATTGACGGGGTTGTGAAGTTACATCGATTGGGATGGTTAGGACATGTGTTACGCATGGCTAGCCTAGCCGTCATCTTCCTCGACGGGCAATGTTAGCTCACATAGGATGGATCAGGTTGGAAAAGAGAAATTTATTGATGGTCAAATCAAAACATCAGTCAATGAAATCCACAACAGTTAGTTTAAACCAGCCACGTAAGGAGGTGTAGACTGTGTGGCTGTATGGAGTCCTCAGAATGGTAAGAAGCAATGAGGGCTAGAGACAGTTATACGTGATATGGCTCAAAATCGTTGTCAGTGGATGGCGCAGACACATTCACTCTTTGTGGTTTATCGTATCTAATAGTATTCTATTGTTCTTCCATATTATTATTCTGTTTTCCTCACTCACACTTCTGTTGATTATCTCTCTTTTGATGAATCTCTGTTTACTCTCTTCTATTGCTCTGTGTGCTAAATGAAGGGAGAGTGGCAACTCGAAGTTCTGCACGTTTGTGCCAAGTCCTGTGTTGAAGCCAGTCAGTCAGGTTTAGACTTCACTCCTCTTCGTGAAAAAAAAAACAAAACAAAGTGGCGTCCTAAGCCACGTGGCTACTGTCTTTAATGAAAGCATCCTTCAATGATTGGTTATATTTCATCATTTGAATTCGAAACCCCACATGTTATTTAGGTTTTGTTTACCTCTATAGTTATGTGGTTCATTTCATCTGTCTCAAGAATGCCTAGTCTAATATTATTATTATTCTCTTCCGTCCCGAATGGAACATGACACTTCAACAGCACATGTCCATTTCGTCCTGTTGTGTGCAGTTCCCTTTATCTGGCTCCACAATTGCCTATAACTTCTCATCTCCTTCTCACACGATCTCCTCACATGCCACCCTCAGACATTCAACTCGTGGTTTTCCAGCTCTTACTCCACTAGAGGTTAGGAGCATAGAGCGAGGTAAGGAAGACAAATGTATTGACGAGATCATGAAGTTAAATCGATTAAGAGGGTCTAGGACATGTGCTTTGCATTTCGAGCCACCGCCTTCCTTGATTGGGGGGAATGTTAGCTGACATAGGGTCGGGTTGGAAAAGAGTAAGGGAATCATTCCATGAATTCTTTGATAGTTGTTTTGAGTCAGCCACTTGTAGAGATGTAGACTGCCTGGTTGGAGACCTAAGAATGCTTAGAACCAATGATTGGAGACTGTTACTATTCTTCCTCCTGTACATTTCTGCACATTATCGTTCTTTTGAATCGCTTCATTTTCTCCCTTTTCTCCATTTTTGTGTACTATATGGAGTTTAGCAGCTTCAACTGTCGAACTTGTATGCTAAATTCTTTGTTGAAAGCCAAAAGCGACTGAAGTACGAGTGCTTAAACTGATGATCATCATCTTCATCTTGTATAATCTCTTACACGTTCAGCCTAACTCTTCATGCGTTGTTTACAGTCATTTGATTATGTACTATCATTATTATTAATATTATTCCCTTGGGTTCCAATTGAAGTGCAGAACTTCAGCAACACACATTTCATCTTGTTCTCTGTAGTCGTCTTTATCTGTTCCCACTATTGCCCCTAAACTCTCATCTGCTGGTCGCACTGTCTCCACGTCACTCTCAGACACCCAGCTGCGTCGTTCCCTGTTCGGGTTCCCTTCGATGATCTTCATGCCACCTGGCGTCATGCAATAGTCTCCTCAGCGTGTGTACAATTAATAGTTGTGAAATTCATTTAGTTTATAAAAACTGTCTTTGTTCACGTTTGTTTTTCTTGTTCTGGAAAACAGTTATGTAATTCTTATTCTATTGTCCTCCATTTTCAGAACGTAAAGAGTTTGTCCGTCTAGCAGTATTTTCATGCCTTAGTGCATTACTACGTCAAACTCGGTTGACAACAATCAATTTGACGAGTGGATCTGTGACTAGTCAGAATACTCTGAAATCATGTGAAAATGCCTTATTTGTATCAGAGACAACATTGGAAGAATTACGGATGCAATTACAAGATGCAAATAGGTAAGTGGAATGAGTGGTAGTAGTAGTAGTATCTTTTTTATTTTTTCTGTTTACTAACTGCCTCAATATTTAGTATGAATGTGTTTTTGTTGATTATTATTATATGGTTGAAAGCAATCGGCAGGAAGCCCTATCTGGCTTAGGTTCCGTGCTAGTTGGTTGGCACTCACCAGTAGTCAGCAAGGCGTATTCTGCAACTGCCTTGAAGGAACTGATGTCCCCTCTTGAGATTCGAACCCGCGTCACCCAATGATGCAGATGGAGACGTTACCACTGAGGAGGTATTCGGGCTCTTGATTGACCTCCTGTAGGACTGTATTGGATACTGTTTTGATTGGAAACTAGCTAGTAACTACTGTAATCTGTGTACGTCTAGTCCTTGGTTACACGGGTTTAAATCTCAGAAAGGACATGAGTTGTTCCTTCAAGAGAGCAGATACACCTTACTGACTGACTGGTGAGTGCCAACTAGCACGAAACCTAGGTTAGGCAAGGCTTCCCGACGATTGTCTCTAACCATCTAGTATCAACAGCCTCCAAAGCCTCAGGATGGTCGGGGGTGGCTGCCTTGCGCTGCGGGTTGGTCACCCCTCCGCACACCTCTTGAAATGCTCCCATATGACCGGGCGTCTTACATAGCCTCTCCTGAGGAAGTCCTACTCACTGCCTTCACGTGGCGGAGATGTTTTTCACCAAAGTGAGAGGGCGAAAGCGGATGCCTGGCGCTCTTCACCGGGTTGACTGTCCATTGGATGACAGTCTAGGGGAGATGGCTAAACGCTGATTCCAAACCTCCAACGACTGGCGTATGAAGCCCACTGGAGCTCACCGGCAGACGTATGGACAAAGGGCTTGTTGGATGTCCTGGATGTCTGGCCCCATTCAAAAAGGCGTATGAACCGAACTCCGGTCACCGGCTGCCAATGGATAGTGGACTCCCTACTCCACTCCTACTGCCTTGTAGGTCACACTTGGTTGTGTAAAGGCTAGAGCTGCACTCTCAAACAAAAGGCCGAGCGATTCTGGGGACATCACTCGTACCGAATTCCCATGAAACTTCATGAACTCTCTGTTCATGTTCACGAGTTGATCACGGATTGATATCAGTTAGAGAACCATTGAAAACCAGCCAGCATCACTGGACAGCCAAATGTTTCATCCTAGTTTGGGAATCATCGGCGGTACGCACCCACACCGCTGGGTTCGAACCCAGGACCTTCCCGTTACAAGGCTAGTGAGCTCATATACCATTCAGCCACTCACTGGGACCCAATTAAATTGCCATCGCATGAATTCTAACTTCTACCAATTCATGATTTAGCGCGACCTCAACAGCTGTCCAGTACTCCCGGCTGGTTTTTAGTGGTTCTTTAACTGATATCGATCCGTGATCAACTCGTAAAAACAAAACTAACCTCTACAAACCAAACTATAGAATATTAATCTGATGCTCGCTAGTGACTTGCTACAGGATAGAGTTTCCTGGAGTTCTAGTGAGAAGTCGTGACCAGTGAGGTCCATCCAGATGTCACGTGTGAGGATGGATGTCCCACCTTCGACAATGATTCGGGTCGCGCTGAATCACGAATTGGCAGAAGTTAGAATTCATGCGATGGCAATTTAATTGGGTCCCAGTGAGTGGCTGAATGGTATACGAGCTCACTAGCCTTGTAACCGAAAGGTCCTGGGTTCGAACCCCGCGGTGTGGGTACGCACTGCCGATGATTCCCAAACTAGGATGAAACATTTGGCTGTCCAGTGATGCTGGCTGGTTTTCAATGGTTCTCTAACTGATATCAATCCGTGATCAACTCGTAAAAACAAAACTAACCCTTACAAACCAAACTATAGAATAAAGAATTTGTGTTTTTCGGTCGCTCAGTGAATTGTCATCAATCTTGTTAGCTAGGTCGACTTTATATATACATATATATATATATATGTATGTATAAGATCTACTTTATGTGTTCATTCATACTCGTCTGTAGAAGATACATGACTTGTTGACAGTGTAAGTCTCAGTTTAAGTGTGTAGTATTATGTTCAATATTGGTTTGTAGGGATTTGACTGATTGGTTACAGGATTTCATCATGAACTGACATTGGCTAGATAACCATTAGAAAACCTAGTAGCCATTATATTGGGTTCGAATGGTTTAATAGTCTGCGAGGCTCGCCTTGTAACCGGAAAGTCCTGAGTTCAAACCCCTGCGGGTGGGCGCGTACTGATGAAGAGTCCCTAACCAGGGCGAAACAGCTGACTTTCCAGTCCTTCCAGGGTTTTCCAATGGTTCCCTCACTGATGTCAGCTCATGATGAAATCCTGTAATAATTATGTGTTTGCTCTCTTGATTATCTTTGTCAAAGCAAAAAGAGAACACGATTTACGGTGTATAAAAGTGTGAACATTTTTTTTTATTTCGAGGATTCTCTTTAACTTCAAACAGCCTACAACAGCATACATAGTGTATTATTGAAATAAGAAGTAACATTTCTATATTCTAGTTAGCAGGAGATTATTATTGGGCGTGACGATCGTGGTTCAAGGGAACAGCAATGAATACATTGTAATGACATAATCTTGACAACTGACACAAAGAGGAACTAGCTATTGATCATAAGTTTGTAAGAAGATTCGTGAAGTCTTGCTAAACTGTTTACGATAAACTCTGGTTAACCAAAAACATACAGGCAAGAGGGATTACGTCATAGCACATGCAAGAGAACATTCAGAACTGATTTCAGATCACTTCTAAATGCTTTCTTGTATTCATTATTACGTAATCCCTCTTTACTTGTATATTGTTGACTAATGAGTGCCTGTTGTAAACAGTTTACCGAATTTCTCAAATCTTTTCAGGCTTAACTCGTTTCCTTTCTTACGCCGTTTGCCATTATTACGTCATCACATCCCCTAAACTATGATATTCATGCCAACTTGTGCTGAAAAGAATAAATAAAATGTATGCGCTTGTCAGAAAGGCGTGTCTGTGATCTTGAAGGAACCCATGTTCCCCTCTTGAGATTCGAACTCTCATCACTCAGTGATGTGGAGGAGCTGTGGCTCACTGGTCTCGGGATCGCTCAACTGGTCAACCAACTGGGTTGCCAATTCAAACACCACAGCATCACCTATCCAGGGTTCGTGTAGTCGCGTAATAGGATCACTAGCATCCTCACACATACGCACACACACAATAGGTTTGACTGAATGTCAACTATATCCAGTCGTGAGTGGATGTTGAGTTGTTTTTAGTCAACATTTTTTCAGAAATATTTCAGTGATCAATATCGTGTATCTATTTGTGTTCTGTGTGTTGTACTGTATTCATTCATTTTCATTGTTGTTTATTTTTCTTGTAACTTTCAAGTGCTCAATCTCGATTGCTGGCCTTATTGCCTACAATATATCGTGGTATAGAAAAACAGGCATCGCAGTCGTCAAGTAATAAAATGCAATCATTTCAAAAAATGAATCGAGTAGGTTGAACTTGTTGTCTTTTTTGTATGCGGGTGTACATGTGTGTATTTGTGTGTGTTTTGCCGACACCTATCAGTTACTTTCACATTGTTATTATTATCGTTGAAACAGACAGGAGATGCACCACACAAAATCCCATAGTTTGTGCGAGGATCGGGATACACTGTCCCCAGGACTCCCTGACCGAAGCAGGTTATTGTCTTATGGGGTCACTCTCCGAAACTTTGACTTGGAGATTGATCTACGGTGTAGTGGAGCAGCATTTGGAGCTATCTTATCGTAGTTTATCGTGACCGAAACAGGCTTATTCACTTTTCGATGTAATCAGATTCTGGAGCCGACGTGCAGCATAGGTTTGGGATTAGGGTTTCCCAGGTTCCGTTGGCAGATATCTGCTTTTCCAACAGTCTGGTCGCAAGCGGGAGACGCCTGGGTTCTTCCTTTCACCACGGTGAAGAACACGTGGTAATGAATAGGTCTTACCTGTCAGAGGGCTATGAATGCGTGACCACATGATGAGAGCATTTCGAGAGGAAGACCGAAGTCTATCCAGTCTCAGCTGTACCACGTGGTTTATAGACTTGTTGTTAGTTGTAGGTATTTTTTGACGGGCGCGTCGGCGACACAGAGGTAAAATGCTCATCAGTCCTGAATCTCGCTTAGCTGTTAATAAGCCAGGTGTGGGACTAGCAACCCCATTGGGTAGAAATAGGACCACTGCTACCGAAACTTCGAAGCTCTAGCTTGAAGCCCCCTATGTTCCACTGGGAATGCAAAGGAATAAAATAGATAAATAATAAGTCTTTTAACGGTATTAAAGGACGTCAACATATGTACAGTCGTTGACCTCATATGGTTATCTTTTTTTATATCTGACTTATCAGATGTGAAAGCTTGCTCAAAGCATCGTATCGATTTAGTGTTGTTGCCACACTTCAGCGAAACACACACAAAAGTAGAGAAGAGAGAAATGCAATAAAAGTATAACGGATTAAGAGGTCGAAAAGAGAAGTAATGCAGTGAAGATTAGTGTGTGAGGATCTTCAGAATTTAGGGGATAAAAGAAACAATGACTAGATCTGAGTCATTGCGGAAAGTTTTGAGCCATTAAAAAAAGCATCTCCAGACATTGGTTCTCTGAGATCGAGCACTTCGATCCAATCAATCGACGGGAAAATCTAAAATTCAATTGAATAATTAATATGACGCGGTGCACAAGAGGTGGCTCTTGTGGCCCAAGTGGTCTAGTGGATAACGCTTTGGCGTTTGAAACTATGGGCACTGGATTCGAGCCTCGGTGGGAACATCATCACTCACTGAGAAATGCAGGTACATCCAGTAGCTGACGAATCCCAAGTATGACGAAATGCACATCATGGATTCCACTGCTAGTCACCATCCACCAATTAAATTGACGCAAATAGTTGTTTACAGTTTTGGCTTGCATACAGCTCTCACCATACACCAAACCTGAATATCACTCACCCACCATCTTATAACTGCCTGTCTGTCTGTTTTTGGCATAGAACTTTGCACATAAGTGCGGCGGTTCAAGTCGCCACACTCCATGTAGCACACAAAGCAAGAGAAGAAAGTAGACGAAATGTATAATAGAGACAGTAAACAGAGGTGTGAGACAAAGGAATAGTAATAATGAAGAACAAAACAGTTTCATTGGAAATCATAAATCACAAGGAGTGGATGAATCTGCACCAGCCATTGAGAACGATTTTGAGCCATGTCACCAATTGTTTCCAACCATTGGTTTTTACCGTCCCGAGGACCCCAACCAATAAGGAAGTCTACACCTTCCTACGTCGCTGGCTTAAACTAACTGTTGTGGATTTCATTGACTGGTGCTATGTTTTCGTTTGACCACCGCTAACTCTTTTCCAGCCTGACCAATCCTATATCAGCTAACATTGCCCATCAGTCGAGGAAGGCGATGACTAGGCATACGTAACACATGTCTTAACCATCTCAGTCGATGTAATTTCACAATCTCGTCGACTGATTTCCCCTCCTTACCTAGCACTCGACCAGTACCTACCCTCAATATTAGTGACCTTATTATACCACTTCACGCGGGAGAATAAACGAAGACAGCTAATCTTTTCATGTCTTTCGCTCTCAATGGCCATCCTATACCATTTATACGGGGGGATGGAATGCAAACATCTGTAGTCAAGATCAGCTAACCTGTGCATATCTTTCATTCATTGAACCCTTTCTATTAAATGAATTTTTAAAAAAGTATTTCAACAATATTTTATGATAATGATTTTACGTGAAGAGTGAAGAGAAGTGATCTTCGGGCACAGATGCTTATTGTACTGTGATTCGTGGGAAAATTGGTCAGTGTAATTAATGATCATTGTTATCTTCCATATTTTTTTTAATAAAAGAATTCTTGTTTCTTTTTCTCTATATTTTTTTGTATGTAAAGGGTATACCTGCCTATCGACATGCTGCATTCATGTTAAATCGTGATTTAGCGTTGGCTCTTCCAGGTCAATTAGGAGCATATTTGAATAATATACTAACAATGGTACAAACATCATCAGCGTAAGTTATTTTTGTGTGTGTGTGTGTTTGTTTCCCTATTATGACTATTATGCACTGTGTTTATTTTGAGGGATTATACGTTCTCAGAGCTGATTGCTAACTGACTTCACAGTTAAAGAACCACTGAAAACCACCAGGGAGTACTGGACAGTTGTTTCGCCCCTGTTAGGGACTCTTCAAACGAACACGTACCAATGACACTGCCTGGAATCACACCCTTGCAAAACCGGGACTTGAATATTATATATATGCCTCTTTGGTTTTTGCTGATTTGCATCTACCCTTCTTTCAGTCAACACAATTGACATGGAAATTACGTCATCTATGTTTAGAAGTGGGTTTGATACATATTATGACATAGATATTAATAAATATCACACAAACTCGAAGAATTGCAGGCGAAGAGCAACAAATTGGCTGAACAGGCTGGCAGCGAAGACCGGACTCCAGGTGAACATAGAGAAGACGGAGGTGATGAAGATAACCAACCAACCAACAGCGACAACAACAACCAGCACGAATCACCACCAATGGGAGAGATTTGACGGAGGTTACCTCCTTCACTTATATGGCTAGGAAGCATCGTTTCAACCAAACACAGGCGGACAGAACGGATGAAGGAGTCATAGCAGGCCAGATTCGGAAAGGCAAGATATGCCTTCGTCAACCTGAAACCAATTTGGAAATCTTCTGCTTCACTCACTCACCCAGCATAAAAAACAAGATTCAGATTCTCAACACAAATGACAAGTCGGTGCTTCTATGCGGGTCAGAAATTCGAGGTGCACGTCACGAAAAGGATTTCCAACAAGTTACAGACTTTTATCAAGAGGTGTCCAATTCGCTGGCTGGCTCTATACTGAAGATCAAATGACCAGTGGGCCGGTTAGGAAGAATTAGCAACAAGAAACTTTGGGAACGAACTGACCAACAACCTCTCGCTCAACAAATATGTAGGAGAAAATGGAGATGGATAGGGCACATGCTACTGACATCGCGTGCCAGTCCATCACCCGAATGGAATCCCAGTGGGAAGCGACGAATGGATCGTCGGTTCGAGGGTGGCATGTACGGGATGAGACATTATGCGAAATCGTGGAACTAGCCAGCTGAAGAGGACAGCAGCAATCAGAACAAAGTGGAGATGTGATTGTAACAACAGAGGACAAGGGTCAAGCAACAGATCGTTTATTTAGGAAATCAACACATATTTATAGATTTTCATGTACATTATCATAGATTATTGCTAGCAAACATAGTCTTCTGATTGGTGGTTTCTCGTTGAACGTTAGTCTTTCATCTCTTTGTGGCTGTTTCTTGAATCTCAGATCGTCTGTATGCTAATTGTATCCATCTACGCCAAGTCTGCTGTGATTATTTGTTGAGTCAGTCTTTGTTCTTATTTTTTTCATGACCAATATTGGGGACTTAAACATTGACGTAAATTACTGTCTACCAATTTGGCTAATAGTCAGGATCCCAAACTAGAGGACGAAACAACTGGCTGTTCAGTACTCTGTTGGTCTTCAGTAGTCAGTTTTTCTCTAACTGAACTTGGGATCAATCAAATCTCCACGAACTAATACTTGAATAGAATCTTTTCGTTGAATCAAATATTTTCTCTTGTTTCTCATACTCTCGGATAAGCCGTGATATTATTTTCTGTAACTGTTTGGCCTGTCAACTTATCATTATAATATTACTTTATTCCCTTGGGCTCCGAGTGGAACATATGTGGGCTTCAACAACACATCTCCACTTTGTTCTGTCTTCTGCCGTTCTCTTCAGCTGGCTAGTTCCACGATTGCCCATAATCTGTCATCTCCTTTTTTCGCACGATCTCCTCCATGTCGCCGTCACACTGATGACCCACTCGCCGATTCCCACTGGGATTCCATTCGGATGATGGACTGGCACGCGATGTCATTCGATGGTCTCCTCTGTAGCGTGTGCCCTATCCATCTCCATTTTCTCCTACATATTTATTGAGTGATAGCTTGTTGGTTAGTTTGTTCCCATAGTTTCTTGTTGCTAAGTCTTTCTGGTCAACCCGCTGGCCATTTGATCTTCAGTATTGAGCCAGCCAGCGAATTGAACACCTGTTGATAAAAGCCTGTAACTTGTTGGAAATCATTTTCGTGACGCGCCGTGCAAGTTTCTGACCCATATAGAAGCACCGACTTGACATTTGTGTTGAAAATCCTAATCTTGTTGTTTATTTTGGCTGACTGAGTGAAGCAGAAGAATTCCAAACTGGTTTCAGGTTGATGAAGGTGTATTTTGCCTTTCCGATTCTGGTCTGCTTTGACATCTGTATCCGTTCCGTCGGTCTGTGGTTGAAACGATGCTTCCTAGCCATATAAGTGAAGCAGATAACCTTTCTCAAATCTCTCCCGTTGATGGTGATTGGTGCTGGTTGTTGTTGCTGTTGGTTGGCTGGTTATCCTCATCACCTCCGTTTTCTTCATGTTCACCTGGAGTCTAGTCTTCGCTGCCAGCCTGTTCAGCTATTTTGTTGGTTTTCGCCTGCAATTCTTCGAGTTTGTGTGACACTAAACATAACTCATCTGCGAAATCCAGATCTTCTAGAGTCGTCTTACCGGTGGTCCAGTGTATTCCTGTCTCCTCGCTCCCTGTACACAGTCTTTCGCATAATCCAGTCCACCACAATTAAGAATACCATCGTGGGTGATAATAGGCAGTCAGCCTGTTTTGTCTTACTCTCCTGTCTTCAGTAGATAGGCTTTGCTGAGTTTTTCGTTGTGTGGGTCACCTGACACGTGTGGCATTGTCATATATATAGCCAGCTGCTGAATGATGTTGATAAAGACTTGGGCACTGCACTTCTCGGTGTTGGAACAGTTTCTCAATTACTTCTCGATCAACGCTGTGCTGTCGAAGGCCTTTTCAAATTGGTCGATGAGGTGAGGTATAGAGATAGGCTTGACTGCCATTGGCCTATCCACTTATAGGATACCCATGTATTTTGTTAACTATTTCTCAATTTTTATTGCACAAAGTTGACTTCTCTTACAATGTTAGCATTATGCATGCAGTCTTTACTATTTGTTTTCTAGGCCTTTGCATTATTATTATTATTATATCTATTGAAATATCCATGAGGTTTTCCACTATTCTTATTTATCATAGATCTCTCCATTTGTCACTGTCATTATTATCATTATTGCTATGACTAATTACTCAATTTATATTCACAATCACTTATCATCATGACTGATGTATATTCATGTGATATTAATATGTACAGTTATGTGTGTGTGTGTGTAAGAGTAGAGTTAAATTGAAGTCTTCACTTTCGTGTGTTGTCCAATATATACTAGAAAATGTTATAAATTCGTTGTGAATATTACTTATTTAACATGCTTACAAATGACAAGTCAAACATTTACATTTTCGAAAATTATACCGATGTTCTTTGAAGAAGACATTGTTATTATTATTCCCTTGGGTTCCGAGTAGACTATAAGTGGGCTTCAACAACGCATCTACACTTTGTTCTATTTGGCGCTGTCCTCTTCAGCTGACTCACCCCATGATTCCCCATAATCTCTCAACTTCTCCGACTCACGCGATCTCCTCCAAGTAACCCTCGCACTGACGACCTACTCGCCGCTTCCCATCAAGATTCCACTCTAGCGATAGTCTGCAATGCGCATGATGTCATTTAACGGTTTCCTCAATGTATACCCGATCAGTCCATCTCCATTTTCTCTTACATATTTGTTGAGTGATAGATTGTTGGTTAGTTTGTTCCCATAGTTTCTTGTTGCTAATTCTTTCTAGCTGACCGGCCGGCCGGCCATTTGATCTTCAGTATAAAGCCATCCAGCGAATTAGGCAGCTGTTGATGTTAGTTTACAGTAGCCTGTTGGGAATCCTTTTCGTTTCTGACTCGTATAGAAGCACCAACTTGACATTTGTGTTGAAAATTCGAATCTTATTCTTCATACTGGCTGAGTGTAGAAGATTTGCAAAGTAGTTTCAGATTGGTGAAGGCATATCTTGTCTTTCCGATTCTGCTTTGTTGGCTTTAACATCTTCATCCGTTCTGTCCGCCTGTGCGTGGTTGAAACGATACTTCCTAGCCAGATGAGTGAAAAGAGTGACCTCTTTCAAATCTCTCCCGTTGATGGTGATTGGTGCTGGTTGTTGTTGCTGTTGGTTGGCTGGTTATCTTCGTCGCCACCGTCTTCTCGATGTTCACCGGGTGTCTTATCTTCTTTGCCTCTTCAGTTATTTTTTTAGTCTTCACCAGTGGCTACACAGGACGAAGTTAGTTACCTGTGAGAATTTGTGACCGGTGGGGGTTAACCACGTTTAGATGTTTGGAAAAAATGCTCGCTGATTACAGTAGTTGACAGGTGTGCCAAAAGCCGCAAACTGATAGAAGTTGAAATTTTGATAAGCCATTGGATTCTGTCGCAGTGTCTGAATGGTTAGCGTGATCACCTCGTAACCTGAAGGCTATGGGTTTGATATTCTGTTGAGTGGGTTGATGGATGCGTACCCCTTGGAAACGAAAACTTGAAAGTTAGTTTTAGAAGTTCATCATGAACTTACATTGGGTAGTGGACCGTTGGAAAACCTGGGAGTACTGGACAGTCAACTGCTTCGCCCTAGTGTGGGACTCTTCGGCCGATTAGTGTCTGGCCCTATTCAGGTAGGTAATTACCTGGGTTCTAGTATGAAGTCGTGATCAGTGGGATTCAGCAGGTCGGGTGGGAGGACAAATACTCGCCGAATAACATTCGCTAGTGGTCGCGCCATTTCATGGACTAGCAGAAGTTGGAATTCATGGACTGACAGTCGAATCGGGTCCCACTGGCTTAATGGTCAACGAGCTCGCTAGTGTTGTAGCCAGAAGGTCCTAGGTTTGAACCCCTGTGGGTGGGTGCGTACTGATGAAGAGTCCTAAACTGGGCTGACGAAACAGCTAGCTGTTGAGTACTCCATATTGGTTTACTAATGGTTCTCTAACCGATGTCAGCTCATGATAAAATCCTCCAGCCAATCAAACAAAATCCCTGCAAACCAACACTTAAATATTAAAAATTAGTGCCTTGTTTAGTTAAAAATAGTTTTTAAATGCTTTTATTGCCTTCTATTTAATTTAATTTAATTTGTATTTCAGTGATCCGAATACAAGTCATACAGCTAAAATGGAAATGATCAATGTTATCGTTTTATTGTTTAACACACATCCAGCAAGTTATTTCACATCAACACTTGATCTTTTAGTTCAGGTAAGTATATATATTTTCATGTTGTTCTACAAACTATGGCACACGTGAGCTAAAAAGAAAAATGACTTTTTGCTTATTGCCTACTTTGATTGAACACTACTAAGTAGTAGTAACACTGTGCGCGTTGGTGGCTCAGCGGTAGGATGCTCGCCAACCACACCGCATGTGGTTCGGGGTTCGATCCCCGGTCGACACACTCCTTTACCCTGCTAAGCCGGTAATAAGGCTGATAAAGGGGAAGGTTGGGCATGAGGCTGGCTAGCAACCCCACCCACCCCGTAAACAAAATCACCACTGCTACTGAAACTTCAAGCCTCTAGCTTGAAGCTCCCAATGTTCCACTGGGAACGTAAAGAGATAAAAAAAGTAGCAAAGCGAATATCATGCTTCTAAGTCCTTTGTTTGGTGTAGATTGAATTCTGTCGTCAGTCAAGTTCCGCAATACGGCAGCCATCATGCCAGATAGATGATGGCTCTCTATCACGGTGCGTCGGTGGCACAGTGGTTAGGACTCCCGCCGACCATGCACATGGTCCGAGGTTCGATCCCCCGCCGACGCACACCTGATATCTATGGTCGGCCTGCTAAATTTTGGCTACCGATATCACATGCTGAAAATTTCATACTTGTACCAAAATACTGTGTGGAATCAAGCTATAATAAAATAAAATAAAATAAATAAAATTTTGAATCGTTGTTAGTTAGTTAGTTAGTTGGGGGCAATAGAGGAGAGGAAGCCTTGCAACAATTTTTCGTGGTTGTTGGCACTTGTGAGGAAGGTGTATCTGTAGTCCTGAAGGAACTGCTACTCGTGTGCCTTCTGAGATTCGAACTTGTGTCACCACTGAGCTATTTGAGCTGGCGATGAACCTCTTGTAAGACTGTAATAATGAGTACTTTGATTGAACACTAGGTGATGACTGTCATGCATATGAAGTCAGATAGTAGTATGACGCATCGATGAAACCTTGTGGCGTAGTATGTGTAAAGCCATCCTGGCTAACTTAACCGATGTACACACCTCACAATGTAATAATGATTACAGTACTTGCCTTTTTTATTACATTCGGCGTTCAACATTTTATTCGCTGTGTTGTGTTCCATAAAGTAATAGGGAGGGAGATAAAGACGTAAGAAATAACACCTGTAACCTTTAAGGTATCAAATGGCTCCTTTGTTGCCTATAAGATATTAAGTTTCCAGTTGTTTTCAAACATGCCGAGATCATTTTTGGTAGAGATTTAAGGATTTTGTGGAAGGTATCATCCTTCATAGGCGCGCAGCTTCATGCACTTCAACTTATTTAAAAAACAGTTTTGATTAGTGTTTGTTCGAATGAAAAAATGAAGAATTCAGATTATTGTATGACCAAATCGTGACTCTTTTAAAACTTGGTTTGTAGTGAAGAAAATTGGTTAGGATTTAAAAAGTCTGTCTTTAGAGAATACCTGAGTCACCTCCAGTAGTCGCATTTTATCTTAACCTTTTATGGTAAAATTGCTTCTCATCCTCAGTAATTCTTGTCGTCTCTACTGTTAACTTATGTAATTCGATGTGTTTGTTATTCTTTGCACCTCGTGATCTCCTGTGTTGTGCGTAGTTTATTTTGGTGGGTTTTGAATTGTTAGAAATAAGTGTGGTAGTGGGATTTTGGCTTATCGATTTGGGTGTCAGACCTGCAACCAACTGGATCACAGATTTAAATCCCGTCCCCCGCCCCCCTGCTGCCAAGATTTGGGCCACCAGATAGTACCACTAGAACACTCATCCACCCCATACACATACACACCCAGCTGATGTGGCCTGAAAATAAAAGTGGTTGTTGGGTGGAAGTATCATCATCATTGTTATTATTTCCTTGGTTTCCTAGTGAGATATAGGGCGACTGCATTTCATCCTGTCCTCTGCACTCCTTTTTAGTTAGCTCCACGAATGATCATTCTACCTCCTTATACTATCTCCCTAGTGTCACCCTCGAACTCATACTCATCTCGTTGTTCCGCATTTTGGTCCCACTAGAGGGTCTGCCTGTCGCGTGATGTCACTCAACTGTCTTCTTAGCGTATGTCAAGTCCATCTACATGTCTTTCGGCATATCTGTTAAATGATAGGCTCTTGATAATTGGTTCGTTGACAGAGTTCCTTGTTGGTTATGGTTTCTGGCCCGCTATCTGATTGGGGGGGGGAGGAAGACATTTGTTGATGAAGGTCTGCAGCCTGCTAGAAAAGCTTTTGGTGACGTGCTCGCCAAGTCTTTGAACCATGTGGAAAAATACTGACTTAATGTATGTGTTGGATATTCATATCTGGTTCCTTATGTTGAGTGCAGAAAATTTCCGCACTGATTTCCTATTGATGAAGATCTGACTTGCCCCCCCCCCGCCGATCTTGCCTTAGACGTCCTCATTTGTGCTGACTTCCTGTAGTTGGATCGTTGCTGCTTAAAAAAGTGAGAGAAGTGAGTCTCTCTGAATTTCTCTTGTTGCTTGGTTGTTGTTGTACTTGTTGGTCGCCGGTTACCTTCACCTCTATCTTCTCTGTGTCCACTTGAATTCCTTCCTGTCTTCACCTCTTTTTCTGTCAACGTGTTGGTTTTTGTCTGTAGATCTTCGAGTGTGTGTGTGTGCCATTAGACATAAATCATCGACGAAATCCAAATCTTCCAGATTCTGTTTTTCTGCCCAACGTATTCCTGTCGTCCTACCCCCTCCCGATTGTAGGTTGCCTGATCTATTATTATTCTTTTATTCTTTTGCGTTCCCAGTGGAACGTAGGTCACCTTCAAGCTAGAGCTCTGAAGTTTTGTTAGCAGTGGTGTTTATTTTTATGGGGTTAGGATTGCTAGTCTCATGCCCGACCTTCCCTCTTTGCTGGGCTTATTATGGGTCAAGAGAGGTTTGGGAGCGCGTCGGGTGGGGATAGAACCCTGACCCACCTGAGTGGCTGGCGAGCATTCTACCTCTGGGCCACCGACGCACATGTTGCATGATTCCAGTCCACCACAATTAGAAATATCATTAGTGATAAGTAGGCAGGCAGTCTCACCTAACTCCTGTCTTTACTTCAATGGCTTCTCTGAGTATTTCATAGCGAATCACTTGGCATATGGCATTGCTGTTGTTTTTGAGTAGAAGTAGCTTATTAGATTTTGTTTTTTTACTGTTTGAGTTTTTTTTTAAGTATAACTCATTTCTCGCCCTAATTGGTGTGCTCCTCTTCAATTTTATCATATATAAAAACAGCTCACTGTTCAGTCGGTCAATAATACATTTTATCGAGTCGCTTTGGAAGGTTTGGATCTACTTCAACTTTTGTGTACACAATTGAAGAATTTAGGTAAATTATTATTATTATTATTGTTTTGTTTTCATCAGTATATTGATTGAAACGAGTGTTCCCACCACACTGATGTTCGTTGGTGGTGGTGGTCCAATGCTTTTGAAGGCGATTGCTAACCACCCACGTCGTCCAGGTTCGGTTCTCAAATGGTGTTCTGCCAAATCTCACCTAGATAGTTTGCTAGCCGGCAGTGTGCCAAGAGACGAAGGAAGGATTAGGAATGGCATCCAAGCACGTAGAGGTACTACTGTGGCGTGTGCTACTGATAAGATTTATCAGTAGTATGTATATAAGGAGATGTTCATTAGCATAAAAGCATCATATAGCAGGGAGATAGATTTGATGTCAGAGAATGCAAAGGAACAGCGTTATGGAGATTACATGTGGGACATGAAAGGAACACAAAGAAACAGGACACGAAGGCAGGGCAGAAGTAGTACAACACGGAAGATCTGTGTAAATGGTGCGTTGAAGATAAGGTGTACATAATTTGGCTATATAGATATACCGAATTGCAAATCAACATTCGTCTACGAGGTATTTCGTCTTCTACTGTTACACTACTAGTAGTGTGGTGAGAGCTGGCTGCAATTCAAAAATTGTAGACAGAAATTTACTTTAATGTTACCTCCCGAATCGGGGGCACGAAAGTAAAACAATAACAAAGCTTAACCTTGAGGAACTCACCAACCAACCACAGAGGACTTAACGTGTGCAAACACGATTCGCAGATATATGGCCTGACTTTCTAAGAAACGGTCACAAGCAGTAGAGAATAACCTTCAGCAAGAAAATAACCAATCCGAAGAGGTCGCTTCTCTGTACATAAAAATCCATAAATATCTGTTGATTTTCTCAATAAAGGATCTGTTGCCTGACCCTTGTCTTCTGTCGTTACACTACTACTGCTACTGATAATAATTTCAGGTAACACTACGGATTGATATCAGTTAGAGAACCATTGAAAACCAGCACTGGAGTACTGGACAGCAAAACGTTTTATCCTAGTTTGAGACTCATTGGCAGTACGCACCCACTGGGTTTGAATCCATGACCTTCCTGTTACAAGGTTTCTAGTGTCCGATTCAATGGCCCATGAATTCTAACTGCTATCAATTCGTGATTTTAGCGCGACCACCAATCAATGTCGTCAGTGGGAACTCACTCCCGACTGGAAGGACCACACTAGTCACGACTTCTCACTAGAACTCCAGGCACCGTCGTCCTTTACCAAGTCTTTCGCTTTCTAACGTTACACTACGAGGAGTCACACTCCGTCTAATTCAACCTGAATGACAACTAGGTACCACCACTATGTCAGTCTTCACACAGTGTGTATGTGTGGTCGATAGTCTAATTAAGGCTTGAAAATTGTATTCCAGATAACAGCGTTTACTCTAACAACATGTGCATCACAATAAGGATTTCGAAAGAGAATGAAATATTTTCTTTATTTGTTCTGGTCCCTCCTTCACCTTTTATTTGACTTTTTTGTTGTTTATCTTTTTTATTTTCCAGGTGGTGAAAAATACGCTATGACTTTGTTCACTCCACTTTTTAATCAATTGCAAGCCACAGATCGTGATCTTGAATTGAAAGAAAAAGCGATTACTGTCTCGTAAGTTATCTATGCATTATCCTGCATTATTGTCAACAAGAATTCAGTGATTAGCAGCATTCTAACTTTATAGAAATGTAGTAATAATAATGGTGAAGATAATAATAGCATTTCGGATGCAGGTTTTTCTCTCAGAAATTCTAGTTCTGCTTCCAAGGCGTCAGGAGGACTGTCAAAAAGAGCCTCTTCACGCTGAACTATGCATTTTATTTAGTTTCATGTATGTGTTTTTCGTTTTTTTCTTTCATTTTTAGTGCTGTATTTCTTGCACAAATTGGTGATCTAGTCACAACAAAAATTGACGACTGTTTAGATTTATTATATCGACGTCTAAAGAATGAATTAACACGGTTAGCAGCTGTTCGTGCTATACAAATCATTGCTTCGTAAGTTTTTCTACTATGGTTTTCCTTTCTTTCTTTTTATTCATTCCACTTGTACATTATGCGGTTTTCTTTCCAAATGTAGAAGTATGAGGCTTCAGCTGCAGCAGCAGCAGCGGCACACCTTCATTGATGACACCTCTTGGTGCTCTACTACTAGTTTTAAACTTACTCCACATATCTGTCCAGTAACCGCCTTCACTTTATTCAAATTCGCTCGCGATTGATACCATAAGTGGTAATCTCGCAGAATACTAAAAAATCTCCATTTAGACATTTAGAAAACAGAAAGATTGAGCGAAGAAATATTTACCCTTGAATTAGATCCTCATCTCTTGCTCTACTGTAATATATTCTGTATAGCATTTTTATTACAATACACAACAGTTTACCAATCAAGTGGCACTGATATATTTGTTAACAATAATTAGTCAGTGTCAAAATGTCAACAGGTGTTGTAACCATTTCTACCTTTTCATTGTGTGCATTAATTTTCTTCGATAATTATCACCCCATTGACATGTTGACACTGGCTAATTATTGTTAACAAACATATCGCCACTTGCTTACAGGATTTCATCATGAGCTGACATTGGTTAGAGAACCGCTGGAAAACCTGGGGGTACTGTACAGCTGTTTCGTCCTAGTCTGTTGGGACTCTTCATCAGTACGCACCCACCGGGGTTTGAACCCAGGACCCTCTGGTTACAAGGCTAGCGAGCTCGTAGACCATTCATCAGCCACTGGGACCCGATCCAATGGCCAGCCCATGAATTCTAACTTCTGCCAATTCACGACATAGCGCAAACGCTAGCCATTGTCAACGCTGGCGAGTATTTGTCCTCACACTCGACCTGCTGCATCCTAGTGGTCACGACTTCTCACTAGAACCCCAGGTAACTACCTATCTAAATAGGGCCAGTCGCCAATGAGCATCTCATTGATATTCAAGTATTGGTTTGTAGGGATTTTGATTGAAGGTGCGTACTGATGAAGATTGCCAAACTAGGGCGAAACAGCTGTCCAGTACTCCCCCGCACGTTTTCCAATGGTTCTCTAACCAATGTCAGCTCATGATGAAATCCTGTAACCAATCAATCAAAATCCCTACAAACCAATACTTGAATATTACCACTTGATTGGTAAATTGTTGGGTATTGTAGAGCGAGAGATGAGGATCTAATTCAAAAGTAAATATTTCTTCGTTCAATCTTTCTGTTTTCTAAATCTCACAGAAATCGCATACATAAGTGTATGACACTATGCGTACCACTGATCGGTCGATTGATTGATTGATTGATTGATATGCGTAGTTGGATATCATTCATGTTGACTAGTATAATGCTTACTAGTCAGAAATAATGAATTAGTAGTATATATTACCAGTTCTTCCGAGTAGCTAGCCAGAATTCGGGGTGATTTAAGTTAAATCTGCTCTCTGAATATTGATTCTAATCGAATACACCGCTGATGAGGCTGTCCTCTGAACAAGCGATACGGCTGTCTCGTGTGTCCATCACTTCTATCTGGCTGATTGACAAGTAATTCTGGTTGATGTGAGGAGTATTTGATTACTCATATGGTGTCATGCATTTACGTTTCTATTTTCTCCTCACATGATCTTTTCAATGTTGTTCTCAGCCATGGAAATGTGTATTAACTTTTAAGCATACTACAAATTGAACATTTTAAATGTATATGCATTTATCTAGATTGTTGCCTCTGTCTTGATGCCCGTTCTTTTCTCTAGTCATCATACTGCATCCACTTTCCGATGGTGGAGATGTTAATTGCGCACAAAAATGAAAGGGAAATTGCGAAAGTCTGGCGTTTACAACTGTTTAAAAATGCCCATTAAAATTTTCAAAAGAATGGATACTGAACGAAGAGTACTCTTTTCGATAAATTCATCATCAGGCTCTACATTTATGTGTATACATTATAGTGAATGAATGGAGTAGTGTTATGAACAACATTAATGTTGTTTAAATAACATCGAATCAATAATATTGATAGATTACAGCTGAACAGCATCAACATAACAATAAACTGAATGTCAGAAGAATTATGAAAGATAACAGTACAAATTCATGAGTTTATAGTTTCTAGTGAGGGCCAGGGCAGTAGTAGGGGCTGGACTTGCTTCTTTTGAACACAGAGCACTGGTTGTTTGAGGCGAATCGCAATAGCCTCTGCTGTTTGGAGCATGTGGTGCTTCGATGATATTGGCAATTTATTAGGCACCCGGTATATTACAGAGAAGGATTCTTCTATGCTGGTTTTGTGACTGGTTTGCACCAGATGGTCCAATATCGAACTATTAATGGTTTTAACTACGCCTTTACTTAGCCATAGTGGGATATATTTTCGAGCACGCAAAATCAATTTCCTAGAGCAACGGCCAATATAACTCGCTCCACAAGTGCAGTTGAATTGATAGATACAATTTTAAGTGGCTAGCTAGTCTAGGTACTTGATCTTTCAGTTGAGGTAGCACCATCGGTCGTGTAACGAATAGTACAACTGTACTGGTATGCATGCAGGTCTAGTTTGGGTAATCTGGAGAATCGTGACTCCGAATCTATGGTGTGTGTTGACTCTAGAATGAATTCAGTTAGATCGAATGGGAGGGGGGGGAGTGAGGGTATGAGCCGTTTTTGGTCATTGGAAATAATGGGAACGTAGCTGCGCTGACTCTGCACGACTGCCTTGTCGATCAAGCTGCATGGCAAAGGCTTTGGAGTCGTGATCCGTTAAGACAATCAGCTGCTCCGGTCTGGGTGGGGGAGTATCCTAGCCCTTGCACAAGTTATGAGACAACCACTTATGTGGTGCATCTCTTGGTTTCTATGATATAACATGTTTGTGTTCTAATAACAGTAATATTAACAGAAATCTACAAATTGGAATACAGAAGGCGAATGTTTTTATGCGCTCAATGTGAAACCTATCTCTAGATGTCATGTACTGCGATATAAGCTTGTTTGATATTGACGACAGACGATTTGAGTTTGATTGTGACATATTTTTGGCTTTATGCAACATAAAATATGCAATATGATTACTTATGCTTATCACTTGTTTTCTTCCTCTTTATGTTTCTTTCTCTGTAACCAGATCATCTGTTCGATTTGATCTATCGAAATTCTTGGTGAGTTAATTATGGGAGTCAATGTATTTATATATTTTTAAAAATTCACGAATAATCCTCATTCAGGCATTAGTATAATGAATTGATAGAAGTTTAAATTCCCCGGCTACTACTGGATTCTGTCCCATCGGTTTGAGTGGTCAACAGGGTCGGCCTTGTAACCTGTAGATCTGGTGGTTCGTTCTCCGATGGGGTCATAGGAGTGTTTACTATGAAGAGTCCTCCACTGGGACGAAACAGTTATCCATGAATCTCTGTTTCCCACTATTTCTCTAACTTAAGTTAGTATGTTTTATTTTAAATGAATTTGAGATTTTCCCGTCGATTGAATGGACCGAAGTGCTCGGTCTCAGGTTGACATGTCGGCTTCTTGTGCAGATGCTTCGACAATGTCTGGGCATTTAATCAGTATTTAATTGGTGGATGGTGACTAGCAGTAGAATCAAGCCAGGATGTGCATTTCGTCCTATTTGGGACTCGAGCACTTCGGTCCAATCAATCGACGGGAAAATCTAGAATTCAATGAAATAATTAATATGACCCGTTGCACAAGAGGTGGCTTTCATGGCCCAAGTGGTCTAGTGGATAACGCTTTGGCGTTCGAATCTAAGGGCACTGTGTTCGAGCCTCGGTGGGAACATCATCACTCACTGGGGAATGCAGGTACATGTAGCTGTGACGAGTCCCAAATAGGATGAAATGCGAATTCTCCTGGATTCCACTGCTAGTCACCATCCACAAAATGAAGTTGGTATGTGATCAAACGTAAAAACAATCAAATCACTGCAAATGGCCTCTTCAAGATTTTTATTCTGTCTCTTTTCGTAGTGAAACATTTTTCACTTGTTGTATGTATTATTTCTATCAACTTAACGAAAACGGTTATTTGGTATGACTTCAGAAGATCGATTCGAGAATTGAGGAGAAGTTATGTTATTCTAGGTTATTTTTGAACTGTACAAAAGCTGTTGTTCAGCATGCATGTCTTCTACCTAATTGAATGAACTGGAAAACCTTGACTGCAGATGTGTGATGTTCTTGGTCTCCAAAATCCGGATGGATCGAATGGTATATGTGTGAACCTGTATTGGCTGGCTATCGGCAACCATGGAGAACACTGATCCCACTGCCTTATGGATCAGACTTCAAGTGAAAGGCTCATAAGGAAGGGAGGTCCTTTAATACAACCACCTGCTTCTGTGTGGGCTTCTCAGGAACTATACAATTTTGTGTTGTGCATCTTTTGGTGCTCATAATGTACCAACTTTTTGTTTTAATAATGATAATAATTATAGTCAATAATTTGTTTGTCTTTCTCTTGCATCTTTTCCGAAATTTTTTTCTTTCTTTCTAGCCTGCTTCTTCTGATGAACTGGCCACATTTCTATCGAAAAATGATCGTACCTTACGTATGACTACATTACGTTGTCTATATACTATCTTATTGAAATATCCAAATTGTGTTGGACAGAATTGTTTAATGACTATATTGAATTTAATGCCAAAGCTACTTATTACAGAGCATGATTTACAGACGACACAGGTGAGTCAGCATTTGGTGATTGGTTGGTTGGTGCGTGGGAGGGGAGGGAGGAGGAATAACTGAATACAGATTTCTTTTATAAGTATATATTCGTATTTACGTTGATTTGACTTAGTGGACCTTGAATGCCACTCTACGAATGGAATCAGCTCATTAAATATAGCTCCGGAATGCTTTTCATTATTTATAGTTGTATTATTACTTATTTATTTTTCCCTTGGATTCTTCTGAGTGGAACACTTAGCGCTTCAACAGCACATCTCCATTTTGTCCTTTTTCTGAGGTCCTCTCAAGCTGGTCCCACGTTTGCCCATAGTCTCTCATCTCCCCCTCACACGGTCTCTTTCATATCACTCTCGGATGCCCCACTAATTTTTTCCCATTCGGATTCCATTCGAGGTACTACCTCGTACGCCATCTTATTCGACGGTCTCCTCAGTGTGTATCCGATCATTTCCCATTTTCTTCACCATATTTGTTGAGTAATAGGCTCTTGGTTGGTTCGTTCCCAGAGTTTCTTGTTGCTAATTCTTCCTGGCCGACCGTTTGATCTTCAATATGGAACCAGCGAAGAGAGCTGTTGATAAAAGACTTCTGCACGCTCCATTATGGATAAGATTTTATTTTGATAAATCACACAGTATTGTACAGTAATATTTACTGATATTATTAACATTACTGTACAACACTGTGTGATTTATCAAAATAAAATCTTATCCATAATGGAGTTATGCTCTACCACAGTGCCCACATTTTATACTTATATCAACTTCTGCACTCTGTTGAAAACGCTTTTCATGACACGCAATGCGAATTTCAGACCCATATAGAAGAAGTAACTGGCTTAATTTCACGTTGAAAATTCGAATCTTGTTCTTTGTACTGAGTGCAAAAGAGTTCCAAGCTGATTTCAGAGTAATGAAGGTTTGTCATGGCTTTAGAATTCTGGCTCTGACATCCTCATTCGTGCCGCCGCCTGTGGTTGAAACGTTGCTTCCTAGTCAGATAAGTGAAGGAAGCAATCCTTTTCAAATATCTCCAGTTGATAGTTATTGATGCTGGTTGTTGTTGTTGCTGTTAGTTTGTTGTCTTCATCAACCCCGTCTTCTCTCTGTTCATCACCTGGATTCCTGTCTTCGCTGGCTGCTTCTTCAGGTAGTTTGTTGGTTTTTGCCTGGAAGTCTTCGAGCTTGTTTGACATTGGACATTAATCATCCGCGAAATTCACATCTACTAGAGTCCTCCTATCAGTCCTATGTATTCCTGTCTTCTTGCTCTCCATGCGGTCTTTCGCGTAATCCAGTTCACCACTATTAAGAATACCGTTGGTGATAATAGGCAGGTAGTCTTGTCTTACTCCTGTTTTCACTTCATACGCCTTGCTGAGGTGTTTCCGTTATGGATCACTTGACATTTAGCATTGTCATCATATAGCTATTGAATGAGGCTGATGAAGAGTTGGCGCACGCCAAATAATTTAGCATCCTTGAGATACCTATAATTTGAGAATCAACTGAAATATATTTAAGAAAATTCGTTGTCGAATTTTCCATTCACAATGATGTCTTCTACACCGTTGTGTGAATCAATCCTTGTTATAGTGTTCATGTTATATCGGTAACCTGTATGTACAGTTCTAAGTAGGCGATGATGAGAAGAGCTTTATATATTTTCGGAAGCGTATGGGCAGCTGTCACTTCCCAGTTACCTAAACTGTCGAAGTTGATTTCCTGTTCGGCTTTACATGGAACATGGAGAACATTGGTGTTGCGTGACTTCAGAGCTCGTGGGATCACTACTTGAGCTAGCCGGTCATAGATAGCCCTTGTCTGAATTAGTTTTCAGAATTGCGTCTGTATTAAAACCTTACCGCCAGCTACGGACCGCCGCCTCATGGTTATTTGGGATGTACAGTCTTCGGAGTCAACGTTTTCTGACCACGTGCATCCTCTCTAGAGCGAAGAGGCAGCGTATCTGGTATCCTGGTCACGCAAGGGAAACACCAGCACTGCGACTTCGACCATAGACCCCCTAAAGTAATGTGAAAACGTACACTATGACGATAATTTGTTTTAGTCTAATCGCTATCTCATAGTAGGACCTCTAAGTGCAGCAAGTGCAACTCGTCGGGTTATTGCGATATACAAGTCAGACCACCATATCAAGGTAGGTAGCAGCTACCAGTTCAGGAGTAATTTGAAAGTTGGCTAGTTTACCCTTGTAAATTAAATATTTCCAAAGTGTTATTCACCTTATTCGACATTGACAAGATCTACAGTGTTTTCAGCGTTATCCTGGAAGTGCTTCTTGCTAACTGATTTTAACTGCCCCCTCCCCATCCCGTAATATCATTTGAAAGTGTAGCGCAGTCGCTAGCCACACTAGCATGGCTACGGACCACATTGTTAACTTGACTATGATAGAATTCGGTTAGCGCCGCAACATTAAGGTCTCCTCTGCACTCATGACACTTGTACTTCATAGTGACTAAACAATGAACGGTGCTGTCTTATTTCCTAAGTATATCAGTTGATCGAGTAAGTCCTGTTATTATTCCCTTGGGTTCCGAGTGGAACATCGGGCTTCAACAACACATCTCGACTTTGTTCTATTCACTGCTGTCCTCTCCAGCAGGTTCCACGATTACCCATAATCTCTCATCTCCTCCTCTTCCTCGCCACACGATCTCCTCCATTTCACCCTAACACTGATGACCCACTCGTCGCTTCTCATTGGGATTCCACCCGAGCGATGGCCTGCATTGAGCGCGATGTCATTCAACGACCTCCTTAATGTATGCCCGATCCATCCATCTCCATTTCCTCCTACATATTTGTTGAGCAACCGGCTCTTGGTTGGTTTGTTGCCAGTCAGAGTTTCTTGTTGCTAATTGTTTCTGGCCGACTGACTGGCCATTTGATCTTCAGTATGGAGCCAATGAAGGCAACTGTTGATAAAACTCCGTAACTTGTTGGACACGCAGTGCAAGTATTGAACAGAATCCGAATCCTGTTGTTTATTGCTGGCTGACTGAGGGAAGCAGATTTCCAAACTAATTTCAGGTTGATGAAAGTGTATTTAGTCTTTCTGATTCTGCCTGGTTTTGACATCTTCATCCGCTCCGACTGCCTGAGGTTAAAACGATGCTTTCTAGATAAGTGAAGGAGGTAACCTCTGTTAAATCTCTCCCTTGATGGTGATTGGTGCTGGTTTTCGTTGCTGTTGGTGGTGGTATTTGGTTATCTTCATCACCTCCGTCTTCTCTTTGTTCATCAGTTGGAGCTCTTTCGCGACTAACTGCTTCTTCAGCCAGTTGGTTTTCGCTTGTAAGTCTTCGAGTTTGTGTGACATTAGGCATAAATCCTCAGTGATATCTAGATCTCCTAGAGTATTCTTATCGGTAGTCCGTCGTATTCTTGTCTTCTCGCTCTCCATGTGGTTTTTGCATAATCCAGTCTACCACAATTAAGAGTACCATCGGTGATAATAGGCAGCCAGCTTCTTTTACTCCTCGTTAAGAGTAATTTCGACTTTTTATAAGCCAAGCATTCATTAATTTTCTTTTTTCTTTTTTTAATTACATAATATTATTTTGAGTAGATAATAATTAGCTTTACTCTCTTATCCGATGACTAATCTGTTTTCGTATTGTTTACCTTATAGCTTGCTCTACATCTTGTCTCTTTACTGTTGGAATCTGGTGAACCATTAGCTAGTAATATTTCTCGAATTGTTATCCAGGATCAATTTCTTGAAGCACTGGTCACTATAGCCCACTCACCTTTACTTCGTGGTCAAGCCTTAGAAGGAATGCTACGACTGATGCGTGCTTTTGGTCAAATTCACAAGGTGGATCATGGAAATCGTCAACAATTACTGGTACGTTCCTGTTTCATCCCTTACCACCTAATGTGATATAACTGATTTTGTAACATTTTGTTAGGTACTCAATTGTATATCAATTTTGATAACCTGGAGGTTCTGGTATTCGCATATTTCGTATCTTTATATGTGTACGAGTAGAGCTGTATGTTGTCGTAGGCTGAAACACACTCAAACTTCCAGTTGGGTGTTTGAATCCCTGCCTGTCTACTTCATTTCAGCTCTGAGCAGTCATGAAGTAGTATCATATTAGCATAGTTTCCTTTAGAAACAGCTGTCCCGTGTTTAGATTACTTCTGCAGGACTAGCTGACTGGCTAGCAGACAACACCACCACTGGTTGATGTGAGTGTGGTACACAACTACTCATCTCGGTTAATTAGTAGTATTGTAGTATCATGGAATCATTCGAAAATGAGCCCACACATGAATTATGAAACTACAGATCTACTTTTCACCACTTTTCTTCTCACTCAACCGGAAAGCATCAATAATTATTAAAAGTATATTATAGTTGGGGGTGGGGGGCGATCACTACAAATAGCGTGTTCGTGACTCAACTACGCATATCAATCAATGGCCAAACTGTATTATCTTGTGCGTCGGTGGCACAGTGGTTAGGACTCTCGCCGACCATGCACATGGTCCGGGATTCGATCCCCTGCCGACGCACACCTGATATCAATGGTCGGCCTGTGAAATTTGGGCTACCGATATAACATGCTGAAAATTCCATACTTGTATCAAGATTACCGTATGGTTTCAAGCTGTAATAAAAAAAATAATATTTTGTTTCGGACGAAGTTAAACTTAAGACTTTCAACGGGCACACACGTACATTTGGTGAGAGCTGTCTGCTAGCCAAAATTAGTATACAGCAATTTACGTCAATGTTTACGTCCAAAATCTTGGTCATGAGAAAAAAACAAGAACAAAGACTAACTCATTGATCATCAATAACAGCACGCTTTGCGTGGGCGGTTACGAGCCGCAGATATATGGTCTGACCTTCAAAGAACTGGCCACAAAGAGATGACAGAATAACTTCCAGTGAGAAAACAACCAATCAGAAGACGCTGTTTCTCTGCTAATAATAACGAATAATAATGTACATAAAAATCTATAAATATCTGTTGATTTCATCAACATACATACATAAATCAATACAATTTTGGACGTCTCAGGCAGAGTAAGACAGTGAAACCAGGCAAATGACACTTTATTCATGAGAGGAAATTTGCTGAATGGAGTGTAAAATGATATTGGGAAGGATATCTGGTTGGGGAAATATTAAAGTTATTTCTACCCCTATGGAAAAGGATTGGTGAACCTGTCAGCTTAACCTAATAAAGGGGTAGATTGAAGGTTAGATTAAGGAAAGATAAGGGTTTTGGTTGAGTTAGGGGGCCGAACCTTTTAATTGTTTTTAATTACTCATTATGCGCTGTGTGCTACTGATATGATTTATCAGTAGTGTATAAAGAGACGTTCACCAGCGTAGAAATATCAAATAGCGGAGAGATAGAATTGACGTCAAAGAGAGAAAATGAAACAGCGTTGCGGCGAAAATTCGGGATACATGCAAAGAAGACAAAGAAACACAATATGAAGAAAGGGTAGAAGTAATACAACACGGAAGATCTATGCAGATGACGATTTCCATATAAAGTGTATATAATTTCCATATTTGTGTGTATATTAGATTCCAAATAAACAGCCTGTTCCCACGTCTCTTGTCATCTACCGTTACAGTTATACTTTTTTTGATTGCACACTAGTCAGTAACTAGTGTAATGTGTCTAGTCCTATCTTCGGTGCAGACTGAATTCTATCAGTCATGTTTGCAATGTGGCCACCATGCTAGGTGGCTCGCCATTACGGTGCACTGTGAATTGTTGGTATTAGATGGTTGGAGGCAATCGGCCGCAGGAAGTCTTGCACCTAGGTTTCGTGCTAGTTGGAACTCATCAGCAAGGTGTATCTGCAACGTTGAAGGAACTCATGTCCCTTCTGAGATTCGAACCCGCGTCCAAGGCTTCCTGCCGATTGCCTCCAACCATCTAATACCAACAATTCATAGTGCACCGTAATGGCGAGCCAACTAGCATGGTGGCCACATTGCAAGCTTGACTGATAGAATTCAGTCTGCACCGAAGATAGGACTAGACACATTACACTAGTTACTGACTAGTGTGCAATCAAAAATATCCACTACAGTCCTACAGTAGGTCAGTCGCGAGCCTGAATAGCTCAGTGGTAACGTCTCTGACTGCAGCACTGGGTGACGTGGGTTCGAATCTCAGAAGGGACATCAGTTCCTTCAAGGTTGCAGATACGCCTTGCTGATGAGTGCCAACTAGCAGGAAACCCAGGTGCAAGGCTTCCTGCCGATTGCCTCCAACCATCTAATACAGTTATACTTGAATACTCTCAAAAGTTTTCTCTACAGTGATGATAGAGTGTAGAAAGGCTGTTGTAGACTCTTTCTCACTTAATTTAATTAAATTTTAGATTTTCCGGTCGATTGATTGGACGGAAGTGCTCGGTCTCAATATGATATGTCGGCTTCTTGTGCAGGTGCTTCGATGATATCTGGTCATGTAATTAGAAGTTAATTCGTGGATGGTGACTAGCAGTGGAATCAAGCCAGGATGAGCATTTCGTCCTACTTGGGATTCGTCCGCCACCTGGATTTGCCTGCATTCTGCAGTGAGTGATGATGTTCCCATCGAGGCTCGAACCCATGCAGGCACATCCGGATGACGAGTCTCAAATAGGACGAAATGCTCATCCAGAATTACACTGCTAGTCATCATTCACCAGTTAACGTATTCACTTAATGCTTGTTTTTTGTGCACAGTAAATGGTTGCAATATGCGAAAATGACTACAGGCAAATTCCGATTGTTTTACCGCCGGATTTCTAATGGCTGTTTCTTAATGTCACACTGCTTCATGCAATCTGTGTAGATGTGCTTCACATTCCTAGTGAGCGACATTCACCTAGCTAGCTTAAATATTTGTTTTTATTCCTGTGCATCCCAAGTGAAATGTACAGCTTCAAGTCGGAGTTTCGAAGCTTCCGTAGTAGTAGTAGTGTTGATTTTGCAGAGTGAGGTTAGCGAGCCTCTCGACCAACCCGCTCTCTTTTCTGGTCTACCACCTACTAGGTAAGGTTTAGAAGTGCGTCATCGGCCAAGAATCGAAACCGGACCATGTAAGGCGTGATTGGCACGGATCATTGCACGATTGAACCCCACAGACATGCAGATTGAAACAGTAGTCAATATGTCGACGAAGAATCTATTTGGAATATATAAACTAATGAGTGCAAAAGGAAGAATAACTTTGGTTTTGGGAAATATTGTATTTAATTTGTTGTATTCTGGGAATACTTAGCGGTCGCCTAAAGTGTGCGCAGTACATACATATTGATTAGTGTTCAACAAATACACGTGTCATATAATTATATGCATATATTTTTGTTCTGCCTCTCTAAATCTTTTGTTTCCCCTCTCATTATTTAGCTTTTCCTATCACGACTACTTGGTCCTATTGAAGGCAACACTGGTACATTGTTTACACCGATTCATCATGCCAATCCACCGAATCGTATCGGTGTACATCGGGATGCATTGCCTAGTCTAGCACAGTGTATTGCTGCTTTACTAGCTGAATTACCGATGAATTCCACTGAAGAGGCCATAAGTCAACAAACTGGTATATTGAGCAGTGTAAATAATGTTGTGGATCAGTTGTTAATATCTGTTAAGGTAAGAATCCCTTATGTGTATGTACCTTATCAAGTTGCAGTTGTTTTTGTTTGATAATGAATGAAATATTATCATTATTATTTCAGGTTTGATCATGGATTGATGTCAGTCAGAGAATTATTGTAAACCGACAAGGAGTACTGGACAGCTCTGTCTCACCCTAGTTTGGGACTCATCGGCAGTACGCATCCACCGTCACGGGGTTCGGACCCAGGACCTCTCGGTTGCGAAGCACGCTCGTAGACCACTTAGCCACTGGGACCGGACTTAATTACCAGTCTATGAATTCCAACTTCCTCCAATTTGTGGTTTTAGCGCGACTGGTACCAGCCAACGTTATCACTGGCGGCGAGTATTTGTCCTCACTCCCGACTTGTTGGTGGACCCTTCTGATCATTACTTCTCACTAGATCTCCAGGCGACTTTGTCCTGCAATCAGCCAGACACTAGCTACCATCAGATCAATTTTCAAGAGTTTGTTTGTAGGGATTGAATTTATTTTAAGTTTTGCCCATGGATTGATATCAGTTAGATAACCAGACAGTGATGTTCTAGGGATTTAGATGTTGGGTGAGGAGGAGAAGTCTGTCGATAAAGTTATGAGGGTGTATCGATTGAGAGAGATAGCTACGCAGGCTGAGCCACCATCTTAACCATGAAATATTTTGTTTGATTGGTTACAGTATTTCATCATGAACTGACAGCGGTTAGAGAATCATTGGAAAACCAGTACTGGAGTAGTGGACAGCTGTTTTGTGCATGTTTTGGACTCATCGTCAGTACTATTACTTCAATCTGTTTCTATGCTCATCTCGTTAGCACTTGTCTTCATTGAAACCTGTTTTACACAAAAACAGCACTATTTTGTAATCTTTTGGAATTTTGTTTCTATACTCCTTGTGATGATCTAAACACTCACCTTCGAACTTTAGTATCAAGTTGAAAATGATCTCCCTTCGTCACTATGTTGAGATAAGTAATATTAATAATAATCATAATATTGAACTGATGCTTACTAGTAACTGGGTCTACTCATCAGGTGGGTGATTACATGGGTTCTAGTGGGAAGTGGTGACCGGTAAGGTTCAACAGGTTGGATGTGAGGACAAAATGCCCGCCAGCAATGACATTGGCTAGTACCAGTCGTGCTATATCGTCAATTTGCAGAAGCTGGAATTCAAGGGCTGGCCATCAGATTGGCGGGTCCAACTTGCTTAATGGTTTACGAGTTCGCTAGCCTTGCAACTAGAAGGTCCTGGTTTCAAGCCCTGACAGTGGAGCGAGTGCGTACTGCTTTCTGAGTAGTCCCAAACTAGACTGACGAAACAGATGTTCAGCACTCTATGGTTGTTTCCCAACGGTTCTCTAACTGATGTCAGTTCATGATGAAATCCTGTTAGCATAATGAATGTCATGAATCCATTGAAGTCTTCGACTTGTTGGTTTTTGAGCAAGCCCCGCAGAAAGAGGGAGAGGTGTCTTGTTAGAGTATATGCAATATACAGCCTAAGTGTTTTTTTTAAAATACAATAATAATTATTATTATTATATGATTAATTACGCACCACAATTAAATTCAAGATGGTGTATTGCTCATATATATATATATATATATATATATATATATAACTTATAATAAACAAAATGATCAGTGTGTTTCAACATGCTACTTAGTTCAGTCATCAGATTTACATATTGAAAATACAATAAAATAAAATGAATTTCATCAAGTTAAATAGTTGATGGTTTTCTAGACAATACACAATTATTAATTGTGTCAAAAAGGTCAACATTTATGTGTCTATTGAAATTAGAAATTTCCAAATCATCATTATCATCGTTTTTAAAAATTTACGATCATAAATATTCATTAGTTGGTTTGTAAGGATTAGACTCGTTTTGACGGGTTGATCGCGGATTGATATCAGTTAGAGAACCGTTGAAAACCAGCTGGGGGAGTACTGGACAGCCAAATGTTTCATCCTGGTTTGAGACTCATCGGCAGTGCGCACCCACTGGGTTTTGAACCCAGGACCTTCCTGTTACAAGGCAAGCTGGCATAGTATTCAGCCACTGGGACTCGTTTCCTCAGTGGCCACCGCATGACTTCTAACCTCTACCAATTCATTATATTTAGAGCGACCACCAACCAGCGTCATCTGTGGGATATCCATCCTCACACTTGACTGGATGAACCTCACTGGTCACGACTTCTCACTAGAACTCCAGGAAACTCCGTCCTGCAGCAGGACGGTATCAATGTGAGGATGGATGTCTAAGCGATGAGATTGGTCCGTGGTCGCGCCAAATATCACAAATTGGTAGAAGTTAGAATTCATGCGGTGGCCATTGAATCGAGTCTCATTCGCTGATCATAAATATTTTAAAACTTTTAATAGGTAGTTGTGACTCGGAATAAAACCAAACATAATTCTGTGAAATGAATTCCCTGATAACAGTCATTTATATCCATCAGGAGTGCCCGATGTTCAAATTCCTGTTAAGAATGTACTCATGGAATTGACTCTAACTGAATTTATAGTGTTACTACCAAGGGACAGTCTTATCGACGTTAGAGTACGCAGATGATTATTGTTCTCCTCTTTAGGTGTGAAGAGGCTTGCAAATTTCTGACTCTTTTAAACACCATGTTGAAAAGAAATCTTCGAGTATTTGGCCTACATGCAATTGTCTGGTGTCAAATGTAAAATGATGCTGCAGAACTAGACTACAGTGACTCCCTGACCTTTAAAGAGGGGGGGTTGAAGTGGTGGTGGAGCGCGTTGATCACCGATTCACATATGTTGGAAGTTGTATCATCCACCCTAAAGGACTGATTGACGATGAAACGTGAACATGGATACCAAAGGTTGTTGTGTCATTTGCCAACTTATCTTCTTATATTTCGTAGACATCTGATATACGTCTGTCCATTAAAGGACATGTATACTGCACAGCAGCAGCTCGCTCCGTCCTCCTTTATGACTGTGAGTGAGACATGGCCATTGGAAATATAAGATATTAAAAGGGATAGCTGTCATTGACACCACAGATGTTTATTGTTTTATCTCCTGTGTTATAAGTAGTATGATATGGAGAGGAATATTTTAGCGCAAGATGCTGAGTGTTAAGTAAGAAGGGTAAGTAAGTCAATTTCGTTATGAATATGAGTCGATTGAGATGACCAGGACACATGTTACGCATCCTGAGGAATAGTCAATTCAAGTTTCGGGATCAATAAATAAAGTCTTCGACAGTTGATTTGAGCCAGTCACATTGACTTCCTGGTTGCTAACCAGAACCAATGACTAGAGAATGATGATTGGTGATGTCATTCAAAATTGCTGTCGATAGTGCAGATACATTCACTTCTCTTTGTAACCTCCCATATTCGTTAATCCCTCATGTTTTTATAGTTTACTATTCTTTACATTTTTGCTCATTACACAGCCCTTTTAAATCTGTATTTTCTGTCGTTCGCTTATTTTTGTGTGGTATATGAAACATCCTGACATTTTGACGTGTGACAAGCTTCTGTGCTGATGATGAACCACTCAGTCAGTCAGTCAGTCAGTCAACTACTTACCAACTAATAGCTGAATGTATTCAAGTATTGGTTTGTAGGGATTTAATTGATTGGTTACAGGATTTCATCATGAGCTGATATTGGTTACAGAACCATTGGAAAACCTAGAAGTACTGGACAGCTGTTTCGTCAGCCTAGTGTGGAACTCTTCATCAGTACGCACCCACCGGAGTTCGAACCCAGGGCCTTCTGGTTACAAGGCGAGCTGGCATACCATTAAGCCACTGTGACCCGATCCAATGGCCAGCCCATGAATTCTAACCTCTGCCAATTCATGATATAGCACAACCGCTAGCCAATGTCTTCGGTGAGTATTTGTCCTCACACCCGACCTGCTGCACCCTACTGATCACGACTTCCCACTGGAACCCCAGGTAACTACCTACCTGAATAGGGCCAGTCGCCAGTGAGCATCTCATTGATATTCAAGTATTGGTTTGTAGGGATTCGGTTGATGTGAGGACTAATACTCGCCGAAGACATTGGCTAGCGGTTGCGCTATATCGTGGATTGGCAGAAGTTAGAATTCATTGGCCATTGGATTGGGTCCCAGTGGCCTAATGGTATGTAAGCTCGCCTTGTTACCAGAGTGTCCTGGGTTCAAACCCCGGCGGGTGCGTACTAATGGAGAGTCTCAAACTAGGACGAAATAGCTGTCCAGTACTCCCAGGTTTTCCAATGGTTCTCCAACTAATGTCAGCTCATTATGAAATCCTGTAGCTGAATGTATATTGAATCAAATTTGTGATTTGTGTAACAGTTTTGATGAGCTTTTCTCTGCGTGAACGGAAATTGTATTTTATTGATTTGTTGAAAGAAGCGCGTTTATTGGTCATCTTAAAAAACATTAGTTTGTTTGTTGACCTGTTGGTGTATATATATATATATATATATATATATATATATATATATATGATATCCGTGAAATGCTAGACATTGCATGAAAATGTGACCTTTGACACATTAATATTGACTTGATGTCATATTATTGATTTGTTCGTACCTAGGTGGTTGGAGGTAATCGGTAGGAAGCCCTACCTGGCCTAGATTTCGTGCTAGTTGGCACTCACCATTCAGTCAGTCAGCAAGGCGTATTCGAAACCTTCAAGGAACTCATGTCTCCCCCACCGAGATTCGAACCCGCGTCACCAGCCAGTGCTGCAGTCAGAGACATTACCCCCGTTAAGCTATTCGGGCTCTTGATTGACCTCCTGTAGAACTGTATTGGATATTTTTGATAGGGCGCTAGTCAGTGTGATGTTTGCAAACTTGATTGATAGAATTCAGTCTGCACCAAAGATAGGGCTAGACACACACACACAGTACACTAGTTACTGACTAGTGTCCAATCAAAAATATTGATTTATTGTTCGATCGATTGATTTTTAGTGAATTCCTTTTTACCAACACACATTCCATGCTGTTAAAGATTTTCTTATGCCATGATGTCCGACTGGCTATCGATTAACGGACGTATGTACTGCTCAACAGTTCGCTCCATCCTGCTCCTTTATGGCTAGCTGTGAGTGAGACATGGTCATTGGAAGTGGAAGACATGAAAACCCTGACTAGCTAACTGTCTTTGATCATAGGTGTCTGCGTCATATCTCCCGTGTTAGCTGGTAGGTGTAATAGGGTGAGTAGTGCTGAGTTGGCGTCGAGTGTTAGGTAAGGAGGGAAAACCAATCAACGAGGTTGTGAAGTCACGTCGACTGAGAGATGGTTAGGACATGTGTTACGCATGCTAGCCTAGTCATCGCCTTCCTCGACGACAAGCAATGTTAGCTGACATAGGATGGCTCAGATTGGAAAAGAGTTAGTTAGTGGTGGTCAAACCAAAACATAGCTTCATCAGTCAGTGAAATCCATAACAGTTAGTTTAAGTCAACCATGTAGGGAGGTGTAGACTGGTTGGTTTACTCAGGATGGTAAGAACCAATGACGGCTAGAAACAATTATCGGTGATATAGCTCATAATCCTCGTTCTCCATGATGCCACAGATACATTCACTCTTCGTGATTTGTCATATCATCCAATAAAAGTCTATTCTTCTTCCCTATCACTAACTCCTCTTCTTCGCTCACTCATACTTCTATTTATTATCTCTCTTTTGATGAATCTCTTTATCCTCTTCTCTTGCTTTGTGTGTTACATAGAGGAAAAATGGCAACTCGAACTGCTGCACTTCTGTGCAAAGTTCTACGTTGAAGTCAGTTCGTCAGTCAGTCACTCAGTTTTTGAGTCTGTCCAATTTTATGGTTGCGAAAATAACACAATACGTTTAATGGGAAGTTCTCTATTTCTGTATTCTCACGGTAGCTGGTATTTCCTCAAGGCGGTCTACTTTTTCCATTTCTGTTTTTTTTTTTTTTGCGTGACTCACGGTATACTTTTAAAGACGATTTCATTTTTAATTTGCTAATGATTTGATGGTGTCTGTCCTAGTTGTTGCTGCATCAGAATGTTCTGATGTGAATAGTTTCCTATCTGTGGTTAACCAGCGGTCTCATTCACCATGGTCTTAAACTAAATGCCCCATAAATGTCATACTGATAGTTTTAGTTTCGTCAGATGTGAATAAGATTTTTGTGGACTCATTCAAGCCTGTGATTCTTGTAATATCCACGGCACTGTAACAGGAAACAAATCGAATATTACCTATTTTGGTAATAGTTTCTCTTCAAATCTTTGTTGATTGTCTCATATATCTTTTTGATTTCTAACAAAAAGTCTTTCATTTGACCTATTACACACACACGCAGCATAAGGAAGTTGAGACATTTTGGCCATAAGTCGAACACTCTTCTCTTACAATTTATCAATTCACGTATTCTTATTTATTTTCTCCTCCATATTCTTCCCTTGGCTTCTCATAAATGACTGTATGTTATATTGTGTAGGAACTTTGATTGGCTGTAAGCGCAGATAGGTGCAAGGTTAATTGTGCATGTATGTGTGTCTTTGAACCAACTATGTTTTGGTTTGATAACCAACCACTAGCTGTTTTCCAACCTGGTCCTTTGTCCTATGTTAGCTAACATTTCCTGTCATCGAGGAAGGTGAGTAAGGGAGAGTGATGCTCAGGTAGGCTTCGTGTGCTTTTGGAAGTGTGTGGGCGGATGTTACTTCCCGGCTGCCCACACCGTGGAAGTTGGTTGAGTCTCCGGGCACTTGAGATAGAGAAAAGGTTAGTGTTGCGTGACGGCAGAGCCCAGGGGACAACTGCTTGGGGCCGGTCACACGCGGCCTGTTTTTGTTTGTTTTTTATTTGGTGTGTCTCAGTGGCATATTTATCACTTCTGCCCTGTGACACGGCAGCAGAAAGCGCGGTCATTGTTAATCCGGGCCCCGACCGATCCGGGATGATATTTTGTGAATTTGTTTGAATCATAGTATTGGATTGGGTAGCTGCTTTTTGTCTAACCGCTATCCAAACAACCTTTCTGGCATGGTAAGACCTGCAGGCACATAAGTTCCAGCCAGTGTAGCTCGTTGGGTCATTGCGATATGCAAGCCCGACCACCACATCAAGGTAGCAGCTATTGGTCGGGCGATGGCTAGACTGGTATGCTAAACACATGTCCTAACCATCTCCCTCACTCGTTGTAACCTCACAACATTGTCGATTGATTTCTCCTCCCACCTACCTAGCGCCGACATTACTCACCCTATTACACATACCGTCTAACATGAAAGATAGAACACAGACACCTATGATCAAAGATAGCTAGCTAGTCAGGCTTTTCATATCTTCCATTTTTAATGGGCATGTTTCACTCACAGCCAGCCATGAATGAGGAGGATGGAGAGAACTTTTGAGGAGTACACACATCATTTGATCGATAGCCAACAGGATATCACGTCCACTGAGCCCGAGATGGAGTTAGTTGGTTTATGCCAAATGGGCCTTGTATATCCATCGGGAGATTTCGTTATCAGTGTGTGTAAACAGTGTATGTGTGTGTGTTAGTGTATATATACTGCAAAATGATCCTAGTCATTGTTTGTGGATATGTACGAAATTCAAAGGAAATGACGCTTGGGTCAATCTAACCAACTCTAATGGTTTCCATCTCTTTTTCTTTATTTTGTAGGATCCCGGTACATCACCAACACAGCTCTATCTGAATTTGTTAATTTTAGGCGAATTAGGCCGAAAAGTGTAAGTCTTTTTCTCTCTCTTAAAACCATATTGACGCCTTTATTATTTAATTATTGTTTAGATACTATTGAAATGATCTCATTTTTGTGTACATTTTAGCAGTGATTTGCTGCAATGAAAAAGGTGGTATCTAGTAAATTCGCGACACCGTATACTACTCATTTGTTGAGATGAGTGGTGTTCACTAACAAGATATAATTAAATTTATGTATGATCACTTCATCCTATTAGCTAGACCCAACTGAGTCAAACCAGATGCGCACCACTTGTCATTTCCTATTCAAGTTCCACTCGAGGGTCTGTCTGCACGTACTGTCACTCAACGGTCTCTTGTGTGTGTGTATGCGTGTCCCCGATTGATCGCCTTTTCCTTCTACATATTTACGGAGCAATAGCTTGTCCGTTGGTTCGTTCCCAATACTCTTTTTTGCTGATCCTTTCTGGTCAGCCATCTGATCTTTGATATGCAGCGAAGACAACTGTTGCTTCGTCTCTTGCTCTGCGTCGTTTGTAGCCGCACAGCATTAGATGATTGTAAATCACCCTCCCTCTCCCCTTTGATTTGAATCTTGCTGTTATTATCGTAGATGAGATTGGTTCCCACTACACATGGAGAGCCTTCTTCACTGTTGTTGGTGTGACATTATGATTGCCACTCTCCAGTTAACTATTTTGATAGTCCCCTTCCATTCCATTTGCTTTCACAGAATTTTTAACACTTCTTTGCTGTATCCTTTTCATTTCCTTTACAATCGCAGCGAACAGTCTTGCCAACCAGCTTCGTGCATTGTGTGCGGACATTCCATGTCGTGTCATGCTTATTTTTGCTTTCATCCGAAAGGAAGAAGACACACTGGCTGAGTGACTGACTGGCTAGGTATCCGAAGGCTTTCACCAGTCCTCGTCACTTCCCCTCTCTGATTCCAGCGAGAAATAAGTTTGTTTTTTATATTTTGAGGTTTATGTTGCTATAAGATTGATTGTTTTGGGGGTGGGACTATTTACTTGCTGGTTCACTCACCCAATTTTCGCTTTTTTCCCGGGCTTAGGACTGGCTTGTTAATTGTTGGACTGGTAAACTAATATAATTAGTGATATGATCAATAACAGTGTTTCTTTGTATACTTAAAATACATATAGAGAGATATTATCTTCGGATCATTTTCAGACTAATCAATAAGTCGAAATTCCCTCAATTTATTGATTTCATATAAACATATGTGTAGTTCAATGTGTTTACTTTTTTTCCCATTCTTTTTGTCTTCTTCTAATCTTCTTTTTTTCTTTAGTGATTTAAGTTCACGTAAAGATCTTCGTGATTTATTGATCTCTTGTCTATCGTCAACACCGACTAATTCTCCTGTCCACCATCAACAACATCGTCAGCATCAACCGATGACACCTACAGGTTTATCAGAGACATCTGTTGTCACATCGAATGGATTTATGGTAACTGAAGAAGTGAAACCAGCTGCTGCGCTTAGCCTAGGCAGACTGGTTGTTGGCCAGCCACAAATTCTTTTACCACCATTGGTTGATAGTATTTCACAGGCTGTTTCACAGCATATTCAGTCTACGAATGCTCCAACTTCAGTTGTCAACAGTAATGGTGGGGGTGGCGGCGGCGGCGGCGTTGTTGGTGGTGTTAAGAGTAATATAAGTCAACATCAGTTATATTATTTAATACAAGCTCTTAGAGAGGTGAGTGAGTGTGAAGTGTAATTCATTGTGTAATATGGCATTTTTTTTCTGTGCTAGTATTAGTTATCTGATTGTACGTACTCCACTGCTCTTCATTTGAGAATATGGCTCATATTGGCTTTTTATCACTCGATTTCCAGCTGCTAATAGGTCTCTGTCTGGATTCAACATAGAACTTGGCACCGAAGTGCAGCAGTTCCAGTTGCCACGTTCCAAATACCACACAGAGGTAGACAAGAAAATGAGTGTAGAGAATCAATAGAGTTTTGACAAGTATAAGAGTGAAACAGAATGAGTTATGGTAGAAAGGAATATGAAAGATTACAGAGACTGAATACATCTGCGTAAGCCATTGACAACGAGGATTTTGAGTCATGTCACCTATTGTCTCCAGCCATTGATTCTTAGAGTCCCGAGGGCGGGCCCCAACCCGGAAGTCTGCATCTCCCCACCTGACTCATTTTAACTGTCAGGGATTTCGTGGATTGATGAGGCCATGTTTTTGTTTGGCCACCATTTACTCTTTTCCAACCTGCACCTATATCAGCTAGTGCAGTTCATGGCCTCTCAGTACTAATTAGTTTATTTCCAGTAATCCCACCACCACCTCACAATTGAGAATTTGAATGACACAATAATAAAGACACCTTTTGCGGGATAAGATAAGTGCATTTCATTATTTCATATGGTTTTCATATTAGTTTGTTTATAAGATATAGCACACAGTGACGTTTCAAACACAATTTATTATTGCTCATAATCATAACAGTTATAATCACACAATTTTAAAACTTTCGTTTTATATTTTTCTTAAGTCTAACCTGTTCGTCGTCCCAGGGGTAGTAGAATTTTTCACATGTCTGGCTGGACAGGTGTTGAATCATCCCTATTACACGTGTTTGCAGTTGATTCGATACACAAAGCCTCCGTTATCACTCTCTCCCTCCACCCCGCTGTTACATTAGATTCTAAAACTGTCATCTCATCCCATCATCCCATATTGTTTGTTTGTGTGCAATTACATATAGTGAGTGCTATAGCTGAACTATTCTATAGATTTCTTATCTTATTTGTGTCAACTAATCTACATTTAGCTGCTGGGTTTTTATGTTCCGTTAGTCTGTTTCACTGTGTGATAATACCTAATAAACAAACTAATATTTTTTGAAATTAGTTGGAGGATTTTATCATTAGCTGACGTCAGTTAGTGAATCATTGAAAAACCACCTGGGAGTACTGAATAGCCAGCTGTTTTGTCGGTCTATTTTGGGATTCTTCAGCAGTAAGCATCCATGGGGGGTTCGAACCAATGACCTACTGGTTATAAGGTGAGGTCATAGATCATTAAGCCACTGGGACCTTATCCAGTGGACAGTCCATGAATTCTAACTTCTGCGAATTCATGACGTAGCGCGACAACTTCGCAATGTCTTCTTCCATGAGTAACTGCCTCATCTTCAGCCTGCTGCACCCATTGGATGGGATCCCAGTGGCTTAATGGTCTATTAGCTCACCTTGTAACCGGAAGGTCTTTGGTTCGGACCCCCTGTGGTGGGTGTGTACTGCTGAAGAGTCCCAAACTAGAATGAAACAGCTGTCCAGTACTCCCAGGTTTTCCAATGGTTCCATGAAATGAAATTTCGACAAGTTAAGGGTAAAAGGCGTCGGTGGCTCAGCAATGGAATGCTTGCCGAGCACGCATGTGGTCCGCGGCTCGATCCATGGCCACCGACGCACTCCTCGACCTCGCCAAGGCAATGATCGGACTGGTAAAGAGGAATGGTTGAGCATTAGGCTGGCTAGCGACCCCACCCCGTAAAAATAATCACCACTGCCACCAAAACTTTAAGCCTCGAGCTTGAAGCCCTCTGTTCCACTGGGAATGTAAAGGAATAAAAAAATAAGGGTAAAAGAGTCGGTGCTTATGAAGGTAGTAAGTAGAAATAGGTTAGTAACAGTCTGCTTTTGCACACTCAGAAGTCACGTTTCACTCTTCGAATGGTTACAGCTTCAGCAATTCGAAGTAGTTGTAAGGTGCTTTGTCTATTCACCAGCCTAAAAGATTCTGTATCAGTCAGGTGAACCGAGTTATTATCTAAAATTCCTTTACGTTCCCAGTGGAACATAGGGCTTCAAGCCTCCAGCTTGAAGTTTCGGTAGCAGTGGTTGTATTCTCTTTTACGGGATGGGTTTGCTAGCCTCATGCCCAACCTTCCCTCTTTACCGGTCTTATTACTGGCTTAGCGAGGTAAAGGAGTGCGTCTGTGGCCGGAGATCGAACCCCGGACCACCTGTGTAGTCAGCGAGTATTCTACCACTGTGCCACCGACTCACAGTAGATGGTGACTAGAGCAGTGGAACCCTGGATACGGATTCCGTCCTGTTTAGAACTTTTCGGCTGGACGCACCTGTAATTCCCAGTGAGTAGTGATGATGAGACATGAACCCCAGTACCAATCGTTCCAAACTCTAAAAGCGTTAAACACTAAGTCACTTGAAGCATCATTTCGGTTCAATCACTCAACGGGAATCACAAAATTAACCTGAACAAAAGAAGTCGGTGGAATTCACATAGTGTTGTTTCTTTGTATCACATCAATTTCTTTTGTTTGTTAAATATTTAACAAAAATTTTTTATTATTATTACGTAAACAGGTTCTTGTAAATCTTGCTGGTCTGGATCCTAGTCAATCGTTGAAAAATCATTTAAATTCAATGTGGTAAGCTGATCGGATTCATTTCCACATCTATGGCATTTCTCACCTATCACAGTTATTTCAGTAGTTTTACCTGTTATCTGTATTTTTTAATGAGGTTATACTGTAGTTGTGAACCGTTGTTAGATAACTATAGAGGCAATCGACAGGAAACCGTGGACCTTAGGTTTTGTACGTGTATGTACTCGCCAGCAAGACGTATACGCGTGCACTCTTGAAGGAAATAAGATACAGTTCTAGGTCATCCAGTGATTATGCAGTCAGAGATGTTACCACTGAGCTAATCGAGGTCGCGATTGACCTCATTTACGACTTTAATGGATAGGATACATTGATTACCTAGTGTCCAATCAAAAATAATTGTGATTCTTCCAGCGCTCTGTCGTAGTCGCAGAGCGTGTGTTGTTAGATTTACTTAGGCACCGCTATCATTTTGGTCTATTCTGAAACGGGAACAGGCCTTTTAGATGGAGGGAGGGGAGAGAGGTTATGGGTACGTGTAATGCTGTAGAGATGCGAATTAGGGCGCGAAACGGCTGTCGAATCAGTTGTGATGTAACCTGAAATCAATCGAATTCCTGGAAACCAACGCTTGAAGATCATTTTTCTTTCCACGCACATTTGCTCCTCATTTTGGTATCGTTGTCTCCTTTCTCAAAAGACAGTTCTATGACACACTGATAACTGAAGCAGTGCAGGCAGGTTACAGGTAAAAGAGACCTCAGAACATGGTATCAGATAACCAAGTCTCTATCCAGGAGGAGATCAACGCAGGTGAAACCTATAAAAGATGTTCAAGGAAATCTGATTAGCAAGGAGAAGAGACAAATAAAACAATGAGCTGATCACTTTAAAGGACTCTCGAATCGACTGTCACCTACAACTCGCCCAGAAATATACGACCAACAACAACAGGACGCACAGAACTGCCTGCCAGTGGACACCAATCCTCCAACGAAAGTAGAAATCTTGAGTGCGATCAAGCTACCGAAGTCCGGCCGGGATGGGGCAGCAGAGCCAGATGGAATACCCCTCGAAGCACTGAAAACGGACCCAGAGACTGCAGCAAATGTTCTCACGCCATTATTGCAAAAGGTTTGGAAAGGGGAAAGGTACCTACAGCCTGGCAGGGTAGCCAGGCTGTCAAAGAAGAGCGACTTACGCCTGCGCAAGAACTGACTGGTGTGGAATATTTCTCACACATGGTAATTTCTCTCTAACACCAGCACACGAAATGTGGATTTGTTATTATTTTTCTTTACATTTACTCTTTACAACCTAAATAGTAGCTCGGTAATGTTGTTCAGCGGTTTTCGGAATAAAAATAAAGGACTTCACATTTCAAGTTAGCACTGGAGATGTGTGTGTTTGTGTGTGTGTGTTGTCCAGATGGAGAGAGAGAGAGAGGACAATGAAGACTTTACAACGAAACCAGCCAGCCTACTAATCAACCATCCAACCCAAATGAGACACACAACAACACTGAAAAATATCCTTCTAAACTGCAATTACTCGCCACTATTTCATAGAAAACTCAATATTTGTTATATTATTTTTTTTTGCAGTTTAGTGTTGCGAGTTGGGGGCGAGGAGTCAGGAATACGTTGGACGACCGACAAGAAGACTCTTGAAGATCTGGATTTCGCGGACGATGACTTATGTCTAATGTCACACAAACTCGAAGACTTGCAAATGAAAGCCAACAAACTGACTGTATAGGCGAGTCAGCGAAAACAGGACTCCAGGTGAACACAGAGGAGACGGAGGTGATGAAGATAACCAACCAACCAACAGTAACAACAACCGGCACCAATCACCATCAACGGGAGGGATTTAACAGAGGTTGTCTCCTTCACTTATCTGGGAAGCATCATTCCAACCACAGGCAGTCGGAACGGATGAAGATGTCAAAGCCAGCCAGCGAGAATCGGAAAGGCAAGGCAAGATACGCCTTTATCAACCTGAAACCAGTTTCGAAATCTTCTGATTTACTCACTCAGCATAGACAACATGATTCGGATTTTCAATTCTTCTATACGGGTCAGAAACGTGCACTGTGTGTCACGAAAAGGATTTCCAACAGCCTGTTGCAGACTTATCAACATCTGCCTTCGCTGGTTGGCTCCATACTGAAGAATAAGCAAAAAAAACTATGGAAACAAACCAACAAGCTAGAGCCGATTCCTCAACAAGTGGATATGTAGGAGAAAATGGAGATGGATGGATCGGGCATACATTGATGAGCAAGCCTTCGGATGACATCGCACGCGATGTAGGTCATTGATCGAGTGGAATCCCAATGGGAAGCGATGAGTGGGTCGTCAGCGTGAGGGTGACATAGAGGAGATTGTGTGAGGAAGAGATGAGAGAGTTTGGTCAGTCGTGGACCCAGCTGAAGAGGATGGCAGAAAGCGGAAAAAAGTGTAGATGTATTGTTGAGGCCCTATGTTCCACACGGAACGCAAGGGAATAATACTAATAATAGCTGCTGGTATTAATCAATACACAAGACAAGTTGAATAATTGTATTAGGGTTACTTAATAAGATGAATAATTCTAATATACGAGTTTTTATGAGGGCTTGATGTTACACTAGACTCCTAAAAATAAATAGAAGTTATGTCCAGTTATAAAAAAATCAAACTGGTAGAAAAGAATGGGGTCATTGTGATGATATTTGGAGTGATTGTGTTGTCTACAGAATTCCACCTGTTGTTCCTGAATGCCTAGAGCTCCAACAGTGCAATAGAGACGAAAGTATATTGTCTTTAACAGGTCGCTATTCACTGTGTAGATCGCACTGATGGAGAAGTTTGTTGAAATAGAATGACCAGTATTGACACAGTGTGTTCTGTTATCGTACTCCTTGTAGAGCCACTGTTTCCTTCCTGCAACTATGTGGGATAATGTTCTTTTCAACCCTTTTTGACAGGATATGGATCAAACGATCAATAATTGAGGCACTACAGGAACAGGTGAACTGACATATATACGTACATAAAAGTGATCAAATGCGAAATATTGTTATTCAGGTTTCTGCATGCGGGTGGACAACTACCGAATAAACACTATTCTTAGCGTTGTTATAATTGTCCGATTTGATGTTGGTTGATGACACTAAATCTATATTGAAAGGAAATAAATAATGACACAAGGGAACAATAATAATAATGATAAAAATAAAATAAGTGTTGCGAGTTAATTTGCCATTTGTACAGTCTACACAGTTCCCTTTTTGTGAATTGGTAGTGATGTAGACCATATACAACATGTGATCTACTCGATACCATTAAAAAGAGGTAGTCATCAAGAAAGCAGGTATAATTGGCATGATTTATACACCACAACTGGATTGATTGGCGGATGTGAGAGAGTGGTATCCAGCTACTTTAATGTCAGTCAATCAGTAGTACTTAAGTACAACGTGAAATTTATTTTTTATTTCTGTGTTATTGATATGTCTGCTGATACACTTGATAGTTTGTTTTAACGAATTTCCTGCCTAATTGATTTGCCAGTCTACTGTTCTAGTGACTATTAGTTAAAATAGTCAGCAATCAATAGGGCTCCAAGGTCATAAGTGTGTGTTTGTGTGCGTGCGCGCGTAAATGTGTTTGGGAAATTCAAACAACACTGTACTATTAAGATAATTTGGTGTTAATTGTCATTCTTCCTATTATTTAAGAAAAAAAGTCATAAATTTTTGTCGTTATCATTTTTCCTTTCTTTTTTTCTCCTCCCTTTTAAACCCACAAGGTCTCTGTTACTAGCCTGTGCTAGTCTATCTGAAGAGGGTACACGTAATCTTGTTTCAGAATGTCTTGGTCGATTGACTCTAGTTGATCCTCAACAACTTGTCGATCGTTTACGCCAGCAGGTAATTAAACACACTAATACACTAATTATTATTATTATTGTTTCCTTTAATTCCTAGAGGAACACAGGGCTTCAGCCGTGCGTCTCCATTGCGTTTGGTTCTCTGCTTGAGTCTTCACCTGGCTCCAAGTCAGCCCACACGTTTTCATCTCCTCTTCACATGACCTCCTCCAAGTCACCCTTGCACTGACGACCAACTCGCCGCTTCCCTTTCGGGCTACACTCGAGCAATGGCTTGTCTAGTGATGTCACTTGATGGTTTCCTCAGAGTATGGTCAGCCAATCCATCTCCATTTCTTCCTGCCTATTTGTTTCACAATTGGTTCCTGGTTGGTTCTCTCATTGCCAGAGATGCCTGTTACTGATCTTTTCTGACCGGCCATCTGATCTCCAGTGGTATTGAGCGAAGACAGCTGTTAATGAAGGTCTGCAGTTTGTTTCATGTGCTCTTTATGACGCACTGGCCAAGTCTCTGATCCGTATAGTAGAACTGACTGACTTCACACTGGAGTTGAAAATCCGGATCTCATTTTCATGACGAGTGCTGTTGACCTCCACACAGACTTGAGAGTAGTGAAAGCTTGTCTTGCTTTTCCGATTCTTGCTTTGATATCCTCGTCAGTTCCGTCGGCCTGTAGTTGAAACGATGCTTCCCAGGTAGGTAGAAGAGGTTGTTCCTTTCAGGTTCCTCCCATTTATGCTGATTGTTGTCAGTTGTTGTTGTTGCTGTTGGTGGTGTTGCCCAGCAATCTTCATCACCTCTGTTTTATCTATGTTCACCTGAAGTCCTATCTTTGATGCTTCTTCTGCTAACTTGTTGCTTTTCGATTGCATATCTTCTAGTGTGTGAGAAATCAGACATATATCATCGGCGAAGTTTAGATCCTCCAAGTTTTTTGTGTGGGTCCATTTTATGCCTGTTTCCTCAATTCCCGCTGTTTGTCGCATTATCCAATCTACTGCAATCAGGAAAATCATTGGCGATAGTAGGCAGCCAGCTTGTCTTACTCCTATCCTCACTTTGGAGGATTCCGTAAGTTTCCCGTTGTGGATTACTTGGCTCACTTACACATTCTAACATTTGAAGTATGATAGATAATTCAGTGTGTATCCTGGCTGTTTTCTTATTATTATTACTATTTTCACCCGTTTGGGTTCCAAGTGGAACCATAGTAACATTTCATCCTGTTCATCAGATGGCTCCAAGTCTGCCCATGAGCTCTTATCTCTTCATGACACGATCTTCTGCATTTGCCGTTCCCCATTCGAATTGTACTCAACAGTCTAAAGTCCAAGTTATTTCTTCTTTTGTATACTTTTGATTGCACACTAGTCAGTAACTAGTGTAATGTGTCTAGTCCTATCTTCGCTGCAGACTGAATTCTATCAGTCAAGTTTGCAATATTGCCATCATGCTAGGTGGCTCGCCATTACGGTGCACTATGAATTGTTGGTGGTTGGAGGCAATCGGCAGGAAGCCTTGGACGCGGGTTCGAATCTCAGAAGAGACATGAGTTCCTTCAAGGTTGCAGATACACCTCGGTGATGAGTTCCAACTAGCACGAAACCTAGGTGCAAGGCTTCCTACCGCTTTCCTCCAACCATCCAATACCAAGAATTCTTTTGTATACTTCAGTTGCAACAGAGAATATCTTCAAGTGGACCTCAGTTTTATTGTAATTGAGCCGTTGAATAATAAAATTAAAGCTTACCTATGAAATGAGAATACATAAGGTTTAGTATTTAAATTATTGGAGGTGGTGGAGGTTAGATTATCGATCACTAAAATTACTACAGCACTATTAAAAGTATCTTCTGTCTATCTATATTGTTTTGTTGATTGACTATTCTACTTCTGTTTTACACGATAGTGTCTACTGCTATTTTTGATGATGTTTATTCTCCTGTTACACAACTGAAAAATCCGTTCTCAATGAGTTTGTAATTTTTTTTCCATCACTCCTGGTTCATAAATACTTCCAAGCACATTGCTTCAACTATCTCAAAAACTCTTCATGAACTGTTCCTCGGTGTGGTTTTTCTATTATCGTTTCCTACTGCTTTACTATTTCGGGGGGGGGGGGGTTGTTGCGGGTTATCGCGCATTATCTACGTCGAAATATATGTCTGTTAATGACAATGTAGATGTCCAGTGAGACTACAAAGTTCGAAGGTTTTTGGGACGGTAAAAACCAATGGCTAGAGACAATAATCGGTAATACGGCTCAAAATCGTTCTTAATGGCTGGTTCAGATGCAACCACTCCTCGTGACTTACAATATCGATTAAAACTATGTTGTTCTTCGATAGTACTACTCTTTTTTTGCCTCATATCTCTGTTTACTGTCTCTATTTTGCATTTCTTTTTACTCTCTTCTCTTGCTTTGCGTGCTGAGTGTAGTGTGGCGACTCAAGATGTTGCACATCTGTGTTAAGTTCTATCTTGAAACCAGTCAGTTATGGTAGATTCAAACTGACTACCATTTCGTTTTGTACACAGAGGCCTGGCACATAAACTTTAATTGCACAAACTTCAGCAATTACAAGCATCTCCCTCTTTGTTTGTCTACTGACTGGCACCAGTAAATGACTTCACAGAATCAATATCACTTTTGTAGTTCAAAAGATGCTTTGTTATTGCACATTTTGGCACTTTGACTTCAGCTGTGTTTCAACCACCTTGGCGAATGCTCCACATTATGCGAGTAGACAATTGCCTTTTCACAAGTGTCAAGGACTTGTGACTGGTCTTTCCTAGATTATTGAAGTACCCGCTTGATGGTGGTGGCGCTAAGGAAGACGAATTTTGCAGCATAATATATTCTATCGATAGCTTTGTCGAGTCTTCGTTTGACTACTTTTTGTAAGTATCGGTGAACTTCTCAGGATATCACTTCCTAGGTAAAATATCCTTCAGATTCTCTATTTCATGTTCGATTATACTGCTCTATTGAACAGTGTTCTGACTAAGTTTTTTTTATACTGGATTGAAACAAAACTTTGAAAATGTATGTACTATCCTGTCCATGAAAACTTACTAAATATAAGTGTTCCATGAGTCCTTTTCATTAGAGAAAGATCTAGGAATTTAATTCTATCATTTTCGTCGTGTTCTACTGTAAAGTTAAGATTCAAGTTGCATGATTTGAATTTTGTCAATAGGTCTTCAGCTTTTGATTTGCTCTCACTGGCAATAAAAATATCTCCAGTATTGGTTTTGTAGGGATTTTGTTTGATTGGTTGGAGGATTTCATCATGAGCTGATATTAGCTAAAGAACCATTGGAAAACCTGAGAGTACTAGACAGCCAGCTGTTTCCTCAGCCTAGTTTCGGACTCTTCGGCGGTACGCACCCACTACAGAGGGTTCGAACCCAGGACCTTCCGGTAACTCATGGAAGAAGACATTGCGAAGTGGTCGCGCTATGTAGTGCGTGAATTGGCAGAGGTTAGAATTCATGCGCTGGCCATTGGATCGGGTCCCAGTGATTCAATGGTCTACGAGCTCGCTAGCCTTGTTACCTGAAGATCCCTCTGTAGTGGGTGCGTAATGCCGGAGAGTCCGAAACTAGGCTGATGAAACACCTGGCTGTCCAGTACTTCCAGCTGGTTTTTCAATGGTTCTCTAACTAATGTCAACTCATGATGAAATCCTCCATCCAATTAAATAAAAATATCGTCACTACTAGGGAAAATTCCGTTTGTTGTATATGCTGTTACAAAGTACCGGCTTCTACGCCTGACAAGCATAAATGTCCAAAACGTAGTCCCAAAGGGTTTTCCATTACAACATTATCAAATTGATACAATAGACGCCCATCGAAATGAAATTGGTACATAGAAGCTGAACTGTAATGCAGTTTATCTTATTTTTAATCCGTCATACTTCGTCTTCCCTTATCTAATATGAACATGACCTGGAAAGCAGTCACATCTATCGTTTTGTGTGATTGACTCAATGTAGTTTTCAAAAGAATAGATACGGAACGGAACAAAGAGTACTCTTTTCGATAAATTCATCATCAGGTTCTACAATTATATATACATTGTAATGAATGAATGAGTCAGTCTTATGAACGACATTAATGTTTAAATAACATGAAATCAATAATATTGATAAATTACAGCTGAACAGCATCAACATCAAATAAGCTGAATGTCAGAAGAATTAGGAAAGATAATAGTACAAATTCATGAATTTATAGTTTCTACTGAGGGCCAGGGCAGTAATAGGGGCTGGACTTGTTTCTTTTGAACACAGAGCACTGGTTGTTTCACGCGAATCGCAATAGACTCTGCTGTTTGGAGCATGCGGTGCTTCGACGATTTTGGTAGTTTGTTAGGCACCTAGTATATTATAGAGAAGGATTCTTCTACACTGGCTTTGTGACCGGTTGGCACCAGATGGTCTAATATCGAACTGTTAATAGTTTTAACTACACCTTTACTTAGCCATAGTGGGATATGTTCTCGAGCACGAAAAATCAAGTTCCTAGAGCAACGGCCGACATAACTCGCTCCACAAGCGCAGTTGAATTGATAAATACAATTTGAAGTGGCTAGTCTAGATACTTCATCTTTCAATCGAGGTAGCACTATCGGTCGTGTAGAGAATAATACGTGTAGTTTATTTTCTTATCAATCTTATATCTCCCAATGTAATTCTTATTCTATATATATCCCTGTATGTAGGGTATCCATCTAAAGAGTTCTGTTAAAATTTTGATAAATTCACTAAATTGAGCTTTATTCACAATGAGTTCTTTTTTGTATTTTGCATTTCTCATGATCAGTTATGACCAATTTTACTGTCTTCATTTTTACTTAACCATTCTTTACAGCTGAATTCCCCTGAAGCCTCTTCATCGGTATTAATGCGTTCAACACTGGTAACTGCTGTCAAATTTATATTGATTGTAACTGATTTGGATTCAGCTTCATCACCATCATCATCGTCATCATCTGCAACACGATATACTACTGGTGGACGTAGTCGATGTGATCTATCAGATGTTCCATACTTTCTGTTAAATCCATCCTCTCACGATTCCAACGCATCATCATCATCATCATCATCTGTAATCAATGATGTTGAATCGGCACTGAAAGCTGGTAATCCACCTGCACTGATTGATTTCCTTGGTCGTCTTGCTGATCCAGAATTATCTGTTAGGCGTGCAGCACTTGTTGCTTTAAATACAGTAGCTCATCATAGACCTGGTCTTGTTCGTCCTTTATTGAATGTACCTATCCAGCTGCCGGGTACTTCACAGACATCCACCCTATTAGATATGTTATGCACTGAAACAGTTGTCCGCAAGGAATTGATTCGTGAAGTTGAAATGGGTCCATTTAAACATCATGAAGATGATGGTTTAGATTTAAGAAAGGTGAGAGTTTGTGAATTGTTTATTCCCTTTTTCGACCGCAATTCAATCCGTATTATGCATACAAACTATTTGTTTTTGTACTGATCCCTGTTATGTAGACTACATTTTACCATCTTTCTTGATAAAGAGAATTTCGTGTGAGCAGTACACTACTACTTAACTACCATAAGTAATATGTTTATGTATGTATTATTATTTCCTTGGGTTCCAAGTGGAATATAGGGCTCCAACAACACTACACATCCCCTTTTTGTCCCATTCTCCGTCGGCTCTTCGGCAGGTTCCACGATTGCCCATAATCTCTCATCTCCTCCATGTTACTGTCGCACTGGCGACCCACTCGAGCGACGGCCTGCACTGAGCGCGATGCCATTCGAAAGTCTTCTCAGTGTATGCCCTATCCATCTCGATTTTCTCGTATATATTTGTTGAGCGATCAGCTCTTGCTTGTTAGTTTTTTCCTATCCAGAGTTACTTGTTGTTAATTCTTTCTGACCATTTGATCTTTAACATGGAGGTAGTCCACATCCATTCCAACTGCTCTCACAGATTCCCAGCACATCTGTGCCATATCTTCGCATTTCTTTGGCTACCTGGGTAGCTTTCCCAGCCCAACCTCGTACATTGTACGTACATTCCACGTCCCCATTCTTATTCTTGCTTTTATCAAGTGAAGACATCTGTTGGCTGGCTTCCCGAAGGCTTTAACCAGTCTCTCTGATTCCAGCGAAGAATAATATTGTTTTTTTAGATTTTCTGTATTTTTAATATATTTTTGTGCGTCGAAGTCTCTGTAGCAGTTTGATTGGTTTTGTGGTATAGGGTCACTAGCCCCACGCCCAAACCCCCCTCCTTACCTGGGCTTGGGGCCGGCTAGAAAACTAGCAAGCTTGTAGACTAAGCGTGGTTATACGTTTATGTGATACCAATTGATTGTCTTAGAAGTTATGATTCTGGGTGGTTTTTTAAATTCCTTTTTGTTCTGAACAGATTACTGTGGTTTCAGCAATGCTGGCAATTTTTCACTGGCTAAGCGCGAGGTTTCGAAATTGTGTCGACCGGCAATCGAACTTTGATCAGATGCTGCATGGCTTGGGAGTGTCCGATCATTGAACTACTGACGCAAAAGGTGTGATGCGTCGGCTGAGATCTAGCTTCTAGAATTATTTGCCCAACTGAAAGCAGTGGTAATGATTCTCTCTAGAACATTAAGGTAGTGTATATGAAAGCATCGTGTGACTAAGTTTCAACATAGAACTTTGCACTGAAGTGCAATAGTTCAATTCCCTACACTGCTGATAGTACACAAAGGTGCACAAAGGAGAGAACCATAATTAACAGAAGTGTGGTTCAGAAAGAAAGAATAACATTGGAAGATATGTAGGTTTTAAATGCTCCTGAGTGAATGGTTGCGTGTTGTGTCACCAATAGTTTCCTACCTTTAAGTTTATAGAGCATGTCAATGACTCTAACCAGGTATCCTACACTCCCCTACTTGATTGGCTTAAACCAACTGTCGAAAGCCTCATGGGTTAGTGACAGGTTTTGATTTGACCTCTTTTAACTCCTTTTCCAATCTAATCCTATGTCAGATAACGTTGGTCGTCTACGAAGGAGATGGCTAGGAATATGTATCATATGTTCTAACCAACTCAGTCGATGTAGCTTCACAGCCTCGTTGATTGATTTCCCCTCCCACCTACGTAACACTCGATGCCTAAGCTCAATATTGCTCACCCTATTATACCTTTTCACACGGAAGATCAAAAACAGCTAGTCTTTTCATGTCTTCCACTTTCAATGGCCATGTCTCACATCCATAAAAGAGGACGGAGCGGATAGCTGAGCAGTACACCCACCCTTTGGTCGATAGCCGGATATCACGTCTACTAAGCCAGAGATGGTGTAATTTGGCAAATTCCAAACTAGTCTTCTGTATCCGTGCAGAGATTTCGTCAGCGATTAACCCGTTGGCGTTGGCTGATGCAACTTCCCAAATAAGTGAAGTGGTCGACACACTCTACCACTTCACTCCTTATTTCTAAACTAGGAGTCAGTGTAGTCCAGTCCTGTAACATCATTTTACATTTGACAAGGGGAGAGATTCGCATGCCAAACATTTGTAGATTGCAGCTCAAGGTTTTCAGACGACTCTGCTCTATTTTTTCAGTGTCTTCACCTAGGAGGTTTTTTTTTCCTTCACGTTCCCCAGTGGAACATAGGGCTTCAAGTTAGTGGCTTGAAGTTTCTGTAGCAGTGTTTATTTTACAGGATGGGGTTGCTAACCTCATGCCCAACCTTTCCTCTTCACCAGTATTATTTCTGGCTTAGCAAGGTAAAGGAGTGCATCTGTGGCCGGGGATCGAACCCCGGACTATGTGATTGGTCGGTGAGCGCCCTATCAATCTTGGTTATTATCAAACCCCGTGACATGTCGATATTGATTAATTATTGTTAGCAAACATATCGACACTTGATTGGTAAATTGTGTATTGTAATAAAAATGCTATATGTATATATATTAGAGTGGAGTGGGAGATGAGGATCTTATTGAAAAGTAAACATTTCTTCGATCAATCCATTTACTTTCTAAATGTCTAAATGGGGATTTTTTTATAATGGAATCTCATTGATATTGAAAACAAATTTAAAGCATATTCGAACTGACTGCACATTACTGGGTGGATGTAATGCGTAGGACACAAAATACAGATCAAGATCAACAAGAAAAACTTAGGAGGTAGGACTATATCATCTGCATATTCCAACCCTCTTTCTGCTTCAGGTACCCGAAGAATCAATCAACTTGCACGGTGGGGGCAGCTGGGAAGTAACAACCGCCCACACACTTCCCAACAGCACACGACGCTTTCCTAAACTAGTGATATATTCCTGGAAGGTCAAATGTCTATAAAGAGCTAACAAATCTCAATTCCTAATATATATTCTTGAATCAATATATATATTTTTTAATTGCCCAAGTATTTCTTTGATATTTGTGTATATGCATATGTACGCCTGTTAGTAATTTTCTATCATACCTTATTTCTCTCTCTCTTTCTGTCTACAATACAGTGTGCATTTGAGTGTATGTCCACTCTACTGGAGACATGTTTAGACAAGTTGGTCATTTCAAACTTTTTAGAATCCTTAATTGATGGTCTACGAGATCATACTGATATCAAGTTGTTATCCTATCAAATACTTCAACGTATATCAATTATACAACCTTTGGAAATATCAGCTAGTAAGTTGAATGTTTTTTTATGTAGGGCTGTCAGCAGCACATCTCCATTGTCTTTTGTTCTCTATTGTCTTGGCTAGCTGACTCTACGTTTGTCTACTAGCTTTCAGTTACTCCCCTCCCCCCTCCCACATGACCGTCTGACTAACGCCAAACTCGTCGATTTCACTCGAGGAACTACCTGTCGAATGATGCTGACACTCAATGGTCTCCTCAGTGTATATCCAACCGATGTTCAATCAGCTCCTGCATATTTTTTGAGTAGTAGGTTGTTGATTGGTTCGCTGACTTACTGATTGCCAGAGTTCCTGGCCAAGACGCTTTCATCAAGTATCTGTTCCGTACATAAATGCCCTAATTTGACTTGACATTAGCATTGAATATTCAAATATTGTTGCTTGTGCTGATTATTGCAGATCTCCACCCTGTTTTCAGGGCAATAAGCGTCTCTCTTGCTTTACCGACTCGATCTTAGTCGGCTGTGACATCGTCATTCTTGCCGCCCATAAATATGCTGTGTATACCATTCTAGAGTGCGTCGGTATCACAGCGGTTAGGACGGTTGTCGACCATGCACATGGTCCGGGGTTCGATCCCCGGCCGACGCACTCTTTTACCTCGCTAAGCCAGAAATAATGCTGGTAATGAGGAAAGGTTGGGCATGAGGTTAGCAACCCCATCCTGTAAAAAAATAAGCACTGCTACAGAAACTTCAAGCCACTAGCTCGAGGCCCTATGTTCCATTGGGAACGTGAAGGAAAAAAATACAATTCTTAAGATTTATCGGCATAATGACATTCTTAACGTTATTAGTTAAAATGCGTCAGTCCCAGGCTCATTTGTTTGATGGTAGTGGTATGGGTTATCAGTAGGACCCCCGGGATGGGCATTTCACCACACACTCGCTAGTGCTGGTGCTCTCAATTTTGAGATAACTGGTCATTAGTATGTTGAAAGGAAACCACTTGAATACTTTTGTGATAAGGGCTGTCTGCAAGCCAAAATTGTAGACAACAATTGACGTCAATGTTTACATCCCGAATCGAGGTCATGAGGAAAAACAATAACAAAGCTTCACCTTGAGGAACTCACCGACCAATCACAGCAGACTTAACGTGTGCAAATAAGATTCGCGGATATATGGTCTGACTTTCTAAGAAACGGCCACAAAGAGATGATCGAATAACCTTCAGCAGGAAAACAAGCAATCCGAAGAGATTGCTTCTTTGCTAATGATAATGCACATAAAAATCTATAAAGCTCTTTTGATTGTCTCAATGAAAGATCTGTGGCCTGACCCTTTTCCTCTGTCGTTATACTTTGACTTTATGACTAGACGGTGACGTCTCACTGTCTATTATTTATCCTTGACGTGATCTTCTCCACATGATTCTTGAACGATCAACTTATTGCTTCTCATTTAGATTACACTCAAAATAGTCTAGTGTGTTGTACACCGTGAAGGTGCCTCCACAGTGTATGTCCAATCTTCCCCTATATTTGCCTTTTGTGTATTTCTTTGGTAACAGAATGTCGATTGGTTGCTTGGTTCTCTGCCAGAGTCTGTTAATGGCAGTCTGATGTGTATTATCGAGTAAAGGCTCAGTTGTTAAGGAATGTCTGCTTTTTAGCGTTTATACAATAACTCTATATTATTTTTATTATTATTTTAATACCCTGTCACCGTCTTGATATTGTTTTCTCCTTCAAGAAATGGAAATCTTATCAGTCCCGTTAAAAGCTGTTCTCTTATCTAAACCAAAAGATGATTGGGTGAAACAAGAAATGGAGAAAATGCAAGAATTAAACAGAAGTGCAATTGGATTAATTGTCAGTTTAAGAAATATTGATGATATTGGTAAGTCCGGACAAAACAACTATCCATACTTAGATAACTGTGATACTTTTTCTTTTTAAAAAAAAACGTTTGAATAGATCATCGCCTTAATCTTGAATCGTAATACTCTTCTAGAGAGAGAAGTGTTATATTATTCACAGTATTATTTTTATTATCCTCTTGGGTTCCGAGTGGAACATAGGGGCTTCGACAGTGGCACATCTTCGTTTTACCCCGTTCCACGATTCCCCATAAGCTTCCATCGCATCTATGCATGATGTCTCCTCCATGTCACTCTCGGACTAACTACCGAACTCGTCGTTCGCTATACAGGTCCCAACTAAGCCGATTACCTGGTGCGTAAGGCCGCATCCATTCCTTACGGAATATTTGTTTGGCAGTAGACTGTTGGTTGGTTTGTTGTTGCTAGAGTTCTTTAATTACTTATCCTTTCTTTTCGGCGATGTACTTTTCAATGTGGAGCGAAATTAGGTGTTGGTGGGAGTCTCTAACACTCCAAGTCTCTTCGCCATATCGTGGCGCTGAATTTACATTGGTGCCTGTTATGTGGCGGCTAATTTGATTGGTTGTCATGAGTCATTTCGCTGGCCGTTCACATTGGGTCAGTATACTCCAGTCTCGTCCAGTGTTTTTTTTCCAAATCGAATTGATAAATCACTGACAAGAATTATCGGCGGTATATAGACTCAGATTGATGGAAAGTAGCCAAAATCGAAAACAACATTATGAGTGACAGTGACTACGGGAGTAGAGGCGTTTTTATTTCTCAAATCTAGAGGATCTAGCCTCCATTGTCGTGAGGATGTATAATCTGACAAGGATTTAACCTTCAGATTATCAGCGACCAATCAGAGCAGTTTGTTATCCATTGACTTAGCCAATCATAAATGCGGTTAAAAATGTGTAAATATGGTGTGTGTGATTTTCCTCAGTAAGGAAAGTCTGTTACCTAGTTAGTGGCTTATATTACTTATTCGAATTGTTTACATGAAACACATAAGATATGATTCCTTCCATTTTGCTACAGAAGTGTGAAAAATGTATGTTATATATTATTCAATAAAGCATAATCAGTTGATTATTTATACTGTTCATCGGACTCTTATCAATATGCTTTGTAATTCCAGATTGGATAAGTTCATCTGATGTAACATACAGTGACTACTATTATTATTCCTTTGGGTTCCGAGTGGAACAGTGGGCTTCAACAACACAACATATCTCCACTTTCTTCTGTTCTTCAGCTGGTTGGCTCCACGATCGCTCATAATCGCTCATCTCCTCCAACTCTCGCGATCTCCTCCATGTCACCCTAACACTGACGACCCACCCGAGTGATGGCCTGGCTTGTGTGCAATATCATTCGACAGCCTCCTCAGTGACGTATGCCCGATCGATCTCCATTTTCCCCTACATATTTGTTGAACGATAGATTCTTGTTTAGTTTATTCCCATAGTTTCTTGTTACTAATTCTTTCTGGTCGATTATTTGATTTTCGATATAGAGCGAAGTCAACTGTTGATAAAAGTCTGCATTAACCTGTTGGAAATCCTTTTCGTGGTACACTGGTCAAGTTTTTCACCCATATATAAGGACTGGCTTAACGTTGGTGTGGAAAATGCAAATCGTGTTCTTCATACTGGCCGGGTGCAGGAGATTTCCGAATTTCTTTCTGGTTGATGAAGGGGTATCTTGCCTTTCAGATTCCGACCTGATTTGATGTCTTCATGCTTTCCGTCTGTCTGTGGTTGAAACCGTACTTTCTAGATAAGTGAAGGGAGTAACCTTCGTCTGATCCCTCCCGTTGATGGAGAATGGTGCTGTTGGTCGGTTGTCTTCATCATCTCCGTCTCCACCTCCTCTATGTTCATCACCTGGAGTCCTGTTTGTGCTGCCAGTTTCCTCAACCAGTTTGTTGGTTTTCGTCTGCACGTTTTTGAGTTTGTGTGAGTGACATTAAGTATAAATCGTCTGCTGCGAAATCCAGATGTTCTCGAGTCTAATTATCGGTCCAATGTGTTCCTGTCTTATCACTTCTTGTGCACAGTCTCCTGCGTAATCCAGTCCACTACGATTAGGAATATAATCGGTGATAATAGGCGGCATCCTTTTCTGTACTCCTGTATGCAACTCGAACGCCTTTCTGAGTTTTCCGTTGTGGATCACCTGACGCATGTCATCGTCATATAGCCAGCCAGCTGTTGAATGAGGTTGATAAAGGTTTGGTGATGATACAGTATTAATAACTAAATGACTACTGTTCATGATCATTATCAATTTATATACACAGTTTCATAAATTTTGCTTTATAAATATTTTTATCTCCCTCTTGTTGTTGTTTATTGGCGTTGTATGACTCTGATTTCACAGGTGTTTAGTGTTGATTCGATGAACTCGAAAACTTGATGATTCAATTCCCCAGTGACCTTTTTTATTTGGATTTTGTTCCACAAGGCAGGCAGTGGAGAGCAGCGTCAGAGGCTACTTCCCCATGGTGACCTAAACACTTTCATACACCATTCGATTGGTTTAAATTGTGTAGCACTCGTGTACTATTGCAAAGGTGTTTGGATTCATGTTTTTCCAGCTCCCCTAGGTGCAGTCTTAGGTGTCTACAAGTCCGGTTGTGTAGGCTTCAAACGTTCAGATTTACCCTTCCGCTTCATCCAGTGAGGACCACCCTTTGCTGTGCGAAGGCTACGCATAAAACTTACCTAGCTTGCAGAGGCTATGAACACGTGACCCCATGTGTGTGAACATCTCGACAGGAGAACCGGCCGTGCCGTTCAGTGTGGTGTCGTGTCGTTAAGGTTTACAAATATTTTTAAAATAAAGTAATCGAAATTCAGTTATACTCCCGATATTTCGTTGAGCAGATGATTTAAGCCTTCGTCGCCATTGAGTTTTTAGAAGAATCATGTGTGGTATTATTCACACTATTAATTACCATAGCAACTATTTATCAGTGTGTTGAAATTTCTATAGTGGACATCCTTTAATAGTTTACTTTCAAAATATGTATAATAATAATTATGATAATGTGGTTCTTATCGCATAACTTTGTTTCCCTCCTCTCTTCTGTTTTTTTTGTCAATAGATAAAAATCGATATTATATGGAATTGTTGCGTATTATTGATTCAGATGCCAATCTAAAGAATACTTATATGCATATTTCATCGACGGAAAATTTCAGTGCCAATAGTACTAGTGGTTGTGGTGGTGCAGGGACATCGGGTGTAGGAGGAGCAATTGGAAACTCTCCTGCACGTCGCGTTGGTGGCGGCGGTGGTGGTGGTGGTGGTGGCGGATATCCTGGAATTTATTCATCTGTTCGTTAAAAATATTCATGTGTTGTACCCCTGTGTGTGTGTCTTGGTGTAATACCTACGCTCCCTTCCTTACACACACACACACACTCACGTATTCAACACTGTTCGCTGTCACGAGTTCTCTTTACAGCAACAATAATCGTATTTAATACTACCACTCCTACTCTTGCTCCTACCAATTACACCTTTTTCCCCGCGTTTACACATTAATCTTCAATATATTATATACATACAGACATTTCTTTTCTAGAAAATTCACCTTTCCGTGTATGTTTAATTTTTTTTCTTCCAGCAACGTGTTGTTGACCAGTTTCGCTTTTCCCTTCAAAAAATTCTATCGTTTGTTTTTGTTAGATTAGATATTACACATGAGAAGTAGTCAATTGCCTAGAAGAGGAGTTGTGAGGGTGGTGGGTGGTCGATAGAGAATAATGTCTGTTACCTAAGTTGATTGTTTTTGTCGAATAGAGCTTTTTTCCATCCTTCCTTGGCATTATTCTTTCTTTGCCTTCTTACTTCCTATTCATCAGTGTAATCAATTCTTTTCCCCAACTGACTAACTGATTAACTGAAAGGTAGTCATTTATTTGTTTATTATTATTATTGTTTGTTTGTTTAACTAACTATCAATGCATGAAACACACAAACACCCACCCACCCACACTGAAGGTTATTCTTCCTTCTTCTTCAGCTACATGTTCCCTGTTATTATAATTATTAGTATGCATCTTCTCTGTTGTTCCCTTCCTCTTTTGTATTGTTGGCGTTTTTTGTCGTTGATGTTGTTGATGATGCTGTTGGTGTTCATAAGATCACGTTGTTTTCAACTCTCTCCCTCTCTCCCTGTTTATTCCCCGGTCTTCTCCCCCTCTCTCTCCCTCTTATGAGCGTTTGTTCGTGTATGTGTGTGTGTATGTGTGTGAATGATCGTCGTTTATGAAAGTGCTACCGAAAAACCCACAAAGTCTAGGTAGGTAGCATTGTCAATGAAGAAAAAAGTCTTTTTCTGACCTCATCCTGGTGGTGCATTGACTCGTCATTGGTTGGTGGTTATACTCACTCAAACTCTAGACACACACAAACAAACACACACCTACCTACTGACAAGAAAGGTTATGTAACTCCTCATCTTTTTTTTCAATGTTAAATTGATGTAAAATTCATATATTATAGTATTATTATTTTTTTCAAATGTGAAGAGACATAAAACAAGCATGAAAGAAAAGGAGGAAGATAAAAAAAAATTTTGTTCGGAAATTTTATGATTTTTTTGATTTGTGTTCTTTTTTTTAGTTTATGTGTTCGTAGTTTGTGTGCTACTAGTTTTGTGCAGTTGTGTGTGGTGGTGGTGGTGGCTGGAGTTTGTTATTGTTTCTGTTGTTGTTGTTGATGTTGTTGTTGATATTTTTGTTGATACGACCCATTGCAATTGAATCCTCTACTTCCGGTTATTTAGGCGGAATATAGGAGTTTAAAACCGTGGTACCACTTACTACTTCATATCCTCTGGGACAACAACTGGATGATAACAGTATTCGCATTTTCATTCCCTGACACTGGCGTTGTTTTAGACGGTTGGAAGCAATCGGCAGGAAGCCTTGGACCTAGGTTTCGTGCTAGTTGGCACTCATCAGCAAGGCGTATCTGCAACCTTGAAGGAACTGATGTCCCTTCTGAGATTCGAACCCGCGTCACCCAGTGCCGCAGTCAGAGACGTTACCACTGAGCTATTCAGGCTCGCGAATCTCAGAAGGGACATCAGTTCCTTCAAGGTTGCAGATACGCCTTGCTGATGAGTGCCAACTAGCACGAAACCTAGGTCCAAGGCTTCCTGCCGATTGCCTCCAACCATCTAATATCAACAATTCACAGTGCACCGTAATGGCGAGCCACCTAGCATCGTGGCTACATTGCAAACATGACTGATAGAATTCAGTCTGCACCGAAGATAGGACTAGACGCATTACACTAGTTACTGACTAGTGTGCAATCAAAAATACTGGCGTTGTTTATTTTACACAGGATAAAGGTGCTAGTCTCACTTTCTCCCCCCCCCCCTCGACCCAGCTTACCTTCTTATCGGGTTTACTACATTTAAAGTGAAATTTAGGATTGCGTCGTCGACCTGGAATCGAATCTTGCAGCATACGCGTGGTTGGCGAGTATTCTTCGTCTGAACCAATAACTCACAAATTTTGTATGAGGCTTATGGTCTAAGAAATGAAAAATCTACTGTTCTGTGTTTATTGAGTTCTAATATTTACTTACTCACTCACACACACACACATGCAAACTCGAAGACTCGCAGACAAAAACCAACAAATTTGCTGGAGAAGCAGACAGACTTCTATCAATAGAGCTGTCGGCAAGAGTAAACAATTGACACCGAAGTTAAATGACCTTGATTTGACCAATCAGATAGCTTAGCATATTACAAATGGTTCCTAGTCATAATCATCTTTGAAAGTGTCTCCTAGATGATGTGTTGATAGGGAGGAATAAAGCATGCATGTGTGGAGGGATAATAATAACTCTAGAAAAGTATTGCCGTGGGCTATTGATGGTTATACATTCAGATGCAGCCACTTTATATGAGGAAGTCCGTATAAGTTGGTAAGTCGTACATAACTGGTGATTGTTTTAGACACTTTCTTCTCGAAATCAAAGCTCTCACTTAGTAATATATTGCATATATGCATATATATGGTTGGTTGTTTCAAGGTCGTCTGAAGTTGGTATCTATTCTTTACCGTCTCTTTTGGCTCCATGCTGAAGGTCAAATGTCAGGCGGGCCAGAAAGAATTGGTGACAAGAAACTATTCAGTGGAACAAACTTACCAAGAACCGATTTCTCAACACATATGCAGAAGAAAATGCAGATGGATTAGGCACACACGTCAATGAGAAGACCCGTTTAGTGACATCGCGCGCAGTGCAGGCCATCGCTTGAGTGAGAAGCGATCGGTGGGTCGTCATTTGTAGGATTACATACAGGAGATCGTGCTATTTAGATATGGGTAGCTAAATGCGAACAGCAGAAAATAGGAAGTGGAGATGTCTAGTTGAGGTCTACCATGTTCCACTCGGAACCCAAGGGAACAATAATAATTTACTCACAGGTGACTAAAAGACATTACTCGGTATAATAGGCTTGTTCGACACCACATTTAATCTATGCTGGTCATACGGTGTTATTGTTTTACTGTAATAAAAACACTTATCACTGTGATACGAATTTTGATAGGTGAATTATCTTAATTACTGCTTGCTGTGACTCTAATACACATTGTAGTCATTAAGATATGAGAGAAGGTCAGCTGTCTTTTGACCACAGATGTTTACATTCTGTCTCTCGTGTTCACTGGTATACTATAGTGAGTAATATTGAGGTTGGATGTAGAGCGTTAGGTAAAGAAGGGATGTCAATCGATGGAGTCGTGAAGCTACATCATCTGAAACAGCTAGGACACCTGTTACGCACTCCGAGCCATCGTCTTCCATGTCGAATGATGTTAGATGATACATAAGATAAAGTCAGCAACGAATTAGAGGTGGTCAAATCTATCCATGAAGTCTTTGACTGTTCGTTTGAGTCAACCAAAGTAGGGAGGTATAGACTGTGTTGTGGTTGGGATCCTCGAGTTGCTAAGAAAGAAATAGCTTGAGACTATTGGTGATATGGCTCAAAATAGTTCACCGTGTCTGAGATGCATTCATTCTTTTTAATATCCCAGACTAATCAAGTGTGTTCTCATACGTGTGTGGGTGTGTGTTACTCTATTCTTTCTTTCTACCTCACATTTTCTGCTTATTGTAGTTCTTTTGGATTTCTTTTTATCTCTGATTTTGTGTATTAAGTGGAGTGTGGCAACTTGGAGTTGTGCACTTCTCTGTGGGGTTCACTGTTGAAGCTCAGTCATTCCAGTAGGCATTCACCTTTAGAAGCTTTATGCGGCTAATCACTGTTAAGGCTGTCAAATAGCATAATACTATAGAATGTTTGTGAATGTTGAATTGATTATCTTACCCACAGCTTCATAAGCTGGCGATTTCATTCATTACAAATTTAACTACATATCTAGTATAAAGAGTTGAAATGAGGATGTTGGGAGTAATCGGTACGAAGTTGTGAACCTAGGTTTCATCGTTGTTGGTACTCGTCAGTAAGGCGTATCTGCAGTCTTGCATAGAATGATGACCTCTCTGGGATTTGTACCTGCGTCACCCAGTGCTGCAGTCATAGACGTTACCATTGAACATTTCAGGCTGGCGATCAACCTCCCGTTGGCCTGTAATCAATACTTTGATTGGTCACTAGGGTGTAGCCAATATCATGTGTGTCTAGTCCTCTGTTTGACGTAGTTTGAATTCTATCAATCGATGACTTGATTATCGAAAGGCTGCTTCATAGGATACGGTTCAAATTGAGAAGGAGTGGAATTCAAAAGTGCTTTAGGGGATGGTATAAAGATGTATGAAGTTTTCATTCAACTTTTCAAATTATCACCAGAATTTTCTATTTAAAGGCTTATCTACCGATTCATGAGGTTTAAGACAATGACTTCGTGAATTAATGCCATCTGATGGAGTGCACACATCCTTATCCCTATGCAAACTTAATCTCCGGTTGATTTTATTTTGTGACAGGATTTCGGATTAATATTTGGGAGATATGTTGACGAATATTTAGTATCGTCGACTAACTTGCGAAGATTATCTAGTACGCTACAGCTGGAAGTGATTTTGCTTAAATGATCGTTTTTTTTTCTTCACGTTCCCTAGTGGAACATAGGGCTTCAAGCTAATGGCTTGAAGTTTCTGTAGCAGTGTTTATTTTACAGGATGGGGTTGCTAGCCTCATGCCCAACCTTTCCCCTTCACCAGCATTATTTCTGGCTCAACGAGGTAAAGGAGTGCGTCGGCCGGGGATCGAACCCCGGACCATGTGCATGGTCGGCGAGCGTCCTAACCGCTATACCACCGACGCTTAAATGATCGTACGAAGTGAA